GCGACAAATAGAGTTGCGTCAGGTCGACAGCTGATGTAAAATTCTATCAAGCAGCTTAAAGAGTTCTTAACAAGACTTAAACGAATTGTTCCATATCGTATGTGAGAGGGGACAATAGGTGAAATGAGCTACCATGTTCGCAGATAACAGATCTTGGGTAGAAGAAAATCTGAAATTAGTTAACAATACCTAGGCTTGAGAAATGGACAATGAGACCTTTGGATTTTAGGAGCTCACGACTCCTATCTCTGACAGTCTCTAAATCAGCGTAAAGGCACTATTCAGGGGACAGCGGGGAGTACAAATGCAAGATCGACCCTTGGATCGAAATCCATTGATCAGGGCGAATTTCCCACAAATCAGTCAATTCTACACTCAGCTCACCGACGACACCTGCATGGATCGTTATCGGGTGAGTGACCATAACTAACCAGTAACTATCTAGGTATCCTATTAGCCCATCCTAAACCAACACGCAAGAGATCGAACGCCAGCGGAGCCGACGCCCGGTTCCTCTGACTACGATCGGCGCCGGGGCTACGTAGCTATCCGGACTACTCTCCGTATACTGTCGTGAGTTACATAGTTCGAAATCCGGAGACGGACAAATGAGCCGGCTAGATAAAGTGGAGAAATATATTTTATATGACAAGAGAATTCAGATTAGACTTAAGTGGACGTTATACGCCCATCTACTGTCTCAGTCCAACTATCGGGTAACATACAAAAAGAATGCTTACGCAGAATAAGTATAACCAGTGGTATGAGCAGGAATTTGGTATGGGGTATATCATAAACAAAAATGCATTATTTTCAATGTAAATTTTTGTGATAAAAAATGTTTAACAGTAAGTTCCAATTACACATTATTTTGATAAACTAGAGATCTCTAATTCTAGTCATGTTTGAGGTCGAAAAAAAAGCCCATTTGGGATTTTTTTGAAAGTGGTACAGTTATAGTTTAATATGCCTAGTATTGTATTGTTAAAGCAATGGATTGTTTATTATTTTTCAAAGAACATTAATTCTATATTAAATACTAGGTGAAGGAAAATTCGAATTTATACAACTCTTTTGATCATAGGTGCATTTTTGTTGAGATTAAATTATAATGTTATCGTTATCACTACCCTGGACAATTTATATAGGTTCTACTTACTACTTAGGTACATTGCGCTGAAGCGATCAACCGATTCCGTAGTAATTTATTGGTTGAATATCGTAAACGAATCAACTTAAATTTAATCTATTGCGTATTACTTCCAGGAAATGCAAATCAACAAGATCCTGAATTCCATCAAAGTATATATGATTATTATTTGAAATAAATAAAGTACAACAACGTACAATAATAACTACTTGATTAGTATTATTTTTTATCGTATTGAATAACGCTAATCGCATAATTACGATCCTCGTCTTTGATAAGTTTATTTTATTTACAGTTGAATTATTTTAAATGTGAATATTATAATAATCATATAATTTTGGATAACAAAATTATATCTAATTTTGTTTAAAATCCCGTTAACTTCGTATGTGCAATGTACATAATGGGAATTTTTAGATTTCTGACATAGGCTTGAACATATTATTATATCCCTGTTACGGTTTTCCGTACGTACCGATCGTTACTACTTACCAGTACCTACGGTTATTGATTTGATTGACAAGGAGATAACTATTACTCATAAAACGATTAATTTAATTTAAATTTGAGTAAATTAAATATAAATTCATACTTGCCAATTTTTTTAAAAAAAAAAGAAAAAAAGAAACCAAATTATAATAATAGTTTAAGAATTTTAAAATTTAAAATTTTTAACGATTTACAAATGAAAATATTTAATTTATTTAGGTTTCTATACATCAGCATTTGTCTATACTTATTAATAATTGTCAATAAATTTCACAAACATGTACAATATACATGATACACTTGCGTTTTTCTAGTTTTTAATTCTATTTAAGTTTAGAGGTACTAGTTTGTAGTGATTATGTTAGGTAACTTCATTAATACCGTCTACAATATAAATTAACATTATTCAATTTTTATTTAACATTAATATTAATTTTTCACTCAATATGGGTGTGTTGTACTGTTGCTATTGCAATTGATGAAAATAGAAAACAACGTTAACAACATACTTATCCATTGACTTAGCGTGAATTTCATTGTATATTCTCTGAATTACAACAGTATCCTGATCGGTTTTTTAATTATTATCGTCTGACAAATAAATCATTTGATAAATTGCTAAATTTAATGATGAGGTCAAGCATATCCAAAAAAAAAAAAAAAACTTTAATCTAGGAAATCTATCACCGTAGAAGAACAATTAAGATTTTCGTTGTTCAATAGGTGCTTCTTTAATCGTTATCAGATTATTTTCTAATTAGTTTCTAAGGGGGAGTCGGATAATTTAAAAACAAATTTTCGAGGGGCATATATTTATGGAGTTGAATAAATAAAAAAAAAGTTCAACATGTATCTCTTTGGTGGTCCGTCTAATTTAACACCTTCAGAAAAATCATATATTTTTATGTAATAAAGTTATTTATTTTTTTTATTAAAAACACAATTATTACATACCTAATAGTATTTAATTATTTTATAGAATAAAATATACATACCATTTTATAAAAATATACAAATATACCAAATATTTATATCATAAATATGGATTATGTTCGGACGCTCGGATATTCTGGGTCTACACGGAGGCAAATAATGAAAACAAAAAACCAGCGATAAGTAAAAAATATATTGGCGGGTTGTTTACTTCCTATTCGCGGACCGGATTGGACTCGCGGGCTGGATTGGACCCGCGGACCACCTATTGCCTACCCCTAGTATAAGTGAACTTCGCTCTGAATCGTATATCATGAGGTTAGGTTTAGGTTAGATATAGTTTATCGTTCCCTATAGATATAAATTAAATAGGTACTTAACTTTATGTATCCTATACTTTCCCAACTTCCCATCTACAACAATGGCACATCCATTAACAGTATAAGCTCTCTTTTCTTATTTTTATTGTTACTATTTATTTAATAGTTTTAACTGTATAGTTTTATTAATATAAAATATGATATTATTTTCTATTATACAGACCTAACTCCGTTTTTGAAAGAGAGTAAGCAAATCAAACAATTATTTATAGTTATACTATTTTAGTAACTATAATATCTATCGATATTTTTTTAAAGTGGGTGTAAAAATCATAAAACAAACCCGTGTCTTAACAATTACGAGATTATTTTATTTTTATTTGAGTTTTTGTTCTTTTCAGTGTAAAGCACATAAACACAAATTGGATATTTTGTTTCAAATTTCTGAGATACACGGTTTTGCCATTCAAACATGTTATATTAAGTGTGTTTGCGGTGTGCTTCTCAGTGGCATGGTAATAGTGTTATTTAGGAGCTCTTGGCCTAAGGTATTTTTAAATGATGGTGGTTGATAGGTGAGTGGATCCCATCATTCGCGTGAATAAAAAATATATGTTGTAATAGATATATAATTATTTATTTCAATGTAGTTATGTTAGTTTATTACTGTTACGCCAAAAGTCCCGACCAGTCCCAAAAACTGTCGTCCGGACCAAACATTGATACAATGGGAGCGTGCGGGCCGGGATTTATTATTAATTGTTAATAATAACGAATTCACGTCCACGTGTGTGCAGATCGATATATGTATGTATCGAGACGGACCTCCACGTGGAATTTTCGTAGACACAGTATATATTCTGGGAGAGCCCAGCAAGGATGTGAGGTTTGCCGGGTCACAAATATTATAACCGGGAAGGGTGGCTGAACGCTTTTATTCCAAGTTGATTGGTCCGTGGTTATGGTGGCCCTACGAGTTAACCTGCGGGGTGCGTCCGAACACGGATCGCGAGATCGGGAAATCGATCGATAGTACGTAGATTCTTTTTCGAATACGCACACACACATGGTTGCGAAACTTAATGCTTAAAGGGAATACAAAAAAAAAAAATAAGAAACAAAATGCGGGGGGAGTTGGCCTATTGCACATAGGGTGTGGAACGCGGGGATTATTACAATGATACGGACGCACAAACTTAATGGACGCTGGTTGATCCCCATAGGTATAACAGAAGAATTTAACATAAAATATTATATCGTAAACGAATTTAACATACGAGAGAAAGAAAAACAAAATGTTTAAAGAAGATATTTAAACGGGAGACATTAACTCAATTAACTTAAAGCTAACCAACTAAACGGGGTATCAGCCAATTATTAAATTGCATGTACATTACCAATCATCTCGCCCGAAGATGTCCGACCAGCGGGCCAGATCGGGACTGATTCCATTAGTTCGCTTGAGGCACCATCAGGAAACGTGCCAAGGTATACGACCTTTCTTAATGGCAAAAATATGTGAACCCGTACAGTACGGGAGGGTTTTAGCAAAAGAACTGTATTAAAAGACCGTCTGATGACAAAGTCTCGAGACGAAGTCTACAGACGAAGAAAGAAAGAAACGAACAAAAGTGGCATCGGAGCGCCGAGACGTTCGTGACACACGTCGACACGGGCCGACGTTTTTACCGATAAGGGGAAACACGATCTGATTGGCCGTGAACCCGTAATCAGGAATATAATATTATTGTAAATTGCGAAAGATTGCGAATGCATAGACCTTTTCGCGGGGGGGAGGGATTATTGTTCACGATGACATAACATATCCGTCGACGCGGGCGCAATCTATTAACCGGCCGACTATATCGATTGTAGGTACGCTTGTCCATCGATAACGGATAATGGTCGTTTTTGTACGTTACACACTGCACTCCAGCCATACATATCGCGCAGGGGAAACCTGCGAAATTTGACATAACTATAAAAAATATAATAATTACTTGAACATTAATCTAAATTAATCTAATGAAAATGTTAAAGTATGTACAAATTTAAAACTTTTTCTGTTTACTTTCATATTATAATTTTGATTTTATGGAGATTTTGTATTTTCATCAGGTATTAATAGTGACAACGCTTTTTGAAAATTATAGGTCTTATCTCCTTTCTCTTTTTTGGTTTACTTAGTTTCACAATTGTTTGTATGACCCGGAAGAAAGATCTTGACATGCCTATACATTCAAACCTCAGCTCTTTCAAAATTCTGAAGACCTCCCATCTAAACTAGGTACCTAACTATTTAACCACGATAATAAAATATTTACCAATTTAATAGTTTACAGCCAAAGTTATATTTATAAATGATAATGTGTAATAAATATATTCATTATATGGTATACTTATGAAGTAGGTACCTACATTTACTTTTTGAGATACTGTTTTTTTTTTTCGTTTAATTTATACACACCTATCCTACTATTTGTTACACCTTATTTTTATAAAAACAGTAAGTCGAAATACATAGGTATCTACACATAATTACTTACTAATTGTATTGTTTTAGTGGATATACGGAAGTCGGGCACTGCATGGGATTATTTTAACTGCCCTTCCTACTATGCATTTTATTTCAGTAACACGGATAAAAAACGTAAGCAGTTTTCCATATCATATTAGGTACATTATCAGAGATTAAGTAAAATATAAAGTGTGTGCAGTATGTACTAGGTACCTGTTAATCGAATTACAATAATAACTAAATGAAGGAATATGAAATATTATACCATCTATCATTTGAAATATCACTTAAACCCTTCTTCTCCCTCGCTTCTTTTCCTGTTTATTTAGTTGTACTTCATAATAGAAGTCCTCATATAATTAGGTAAGTAAGCTCAACCGTGTGTGTAACCACCTCCCTTTCGGTTTTCCCTCTCCCATCCACAATCATTCGTTAAACTACTTACCTTAACACCCTATAACTCGGCTACTCTCATAATATGTCCAAATCACCTCAGTTTATTCCCTCTGATCTTTTCAATTCTATTATAAAAATAACGTACATCTATATACTAAGTATCTACCCCTTATAAACTCATACCTTATTGAAAATCCATAGTGAATCCATTCATTTATCTAATAATATTCTAAACTCCGCTACACTTATTTTTGGCTGCATTGAAATTAGTATTTTATGTGGTACACATTTCAATTATTAATTCCTGAAAAATTTTTAAAATTTCAAAAAAAAATCAAAATGTAACGTTACATAATTCAGTATATAGTTTGATGATGTAAAAAAATATAATTTTATTAAAATTACCAGACTTCCAGCCATGACAAGGGGTGGGGGACATGTCCTCCAGATCACCCTTATCTAGGTTACCTACTTATTTTTATTGTTTTCTTACATCCAATACCTTTTTTTAGTACTCATGTAGACATACATTTTGAAATTATAAATACTAACCTGATATAAACTATCTATGCTTTAATTTTAAGCTTAAAATACCTACTTATTTAGTATATCACATATAAATATATATTTGTATATAGTAATCATATATAAATATTTAATAGAAACTTAAAATTGTACTTACAAATTGATTGGTTTCTAGATACTAATATTACATCCTGGTGTCCAAAACATTGCATTTAGGTAATTCAGTTGATATTTCATCATTAATTATTATATACATTACTCTATGATTTTATAAGACAATATTGTAACTTAAATAGTTATATTATAAATAAATTTACTATTTTATTTTATAATGGCATAACTAAAACAGATAAAGTGTATGAAAATAATATTTCTTAATTTGCAAGTGTGTTTTTCAATTTTACTTATTAAGGATAGTATTTGATTTGTATTGTGTAATAAATAAAATCTCTAAATCATAAGTCTTACTGAGATTATATTTTTTATCAAACCTATATTTCTTTTGAACGCATTTTCTAGATTATAATCTAGTTGGGAAGTAAACAAGAACATTAACGTTAGTACTAAGAAATGTTTTAATAAGTCTATAAAATCGTTGGTGTATGACTGTAGGACGATCGTGGAATTGAAAAAAAGATTTATAGGAGTTAGAGCATGATCAATTCTAAGGAGTAAGAGTCAGACAACTTATATAACAGCCAATAAGTACATATTATATACAAAGCATTTTTATTAATGCTATTTATTAATGACTATTAATTATAAACGTAATAAATAAACATTGGAGTAGTGCGGTAGATTAATCTTCTCTTTGCCGCAAGTTGGAACTTCAATAGTTTAATAAACTGTTAAAACGAATGAATAGTAAATAAGAAGATTGTGCTATGTATATAATTTTTATAAATATATTCTCTAATCAAATCTGTGTTAAAAAAAAGGAAATTATTTTTTGAAAATCAAAAATGAGATTATTCATTGAAATTAAATAATGCATTAAAATAAAAATAAAATGATTGAAATAAACAGAAACTAGTTATCATTAACTTTACACCAGTATGCGAGCATGTATTAACTCAGACAGGTTTTTGTCTGCCTTCTGGTGTCTTCTTATTCTAAATAGCATATAGGTGCACTAATATAAAATGAAAAATGGTATAACAAAAATAAGTTGTTTTGTATAACTAGTATTGACAATAATTCAGTAGTTTAAAAAAATTCTACTAGATGAATAATTTAATGGTATTTTACTTTTCTATCTTAAAGTTATAATTTTTAAAACACATTATCATTGTTTGCAAAAAAAAATATTGAAGGTAGGTAATTGAAATAAATATATTCCTCAATATTTATAACCCAACTAAAATTACATATAAATCATAAAATATAACAAACATAAGTATATTAAAAAACTATATTATATAAAATTAATATTTAATTTCACTGTAGTTAATTTTTATAAGTAGGAAAGAAATATTACAAACAAACAAAACAAATACTATTTAACTATCTATTTAATGTATAAATTAAATACTTGAGTAATTTTTTTTCTAGCTAAATAACAAATTATTTCAAATTCTATTTAAAAAGATCAGATGACATAAAATGTGATTGATAAGGTTCATTCAAATTACTAAATTCTTTAGATGTGGATGCTTTGTTAGATGTATGATTATTAGTATCTAATTCATTGTGCAATTGTTGAAAAATACCATTTCCTAAAAATTAAAATAAATTTTTAATATTTTGTATTACATATGAAAACTTTTATAAATAAAAAAAGATATCCTAGGTCCTAGGATAATGGTGACAGATGCAGATCATAGAGTAATAAAGAGAAGCCGTTTCGTCTGTATATTGAAGCGCAAATGGTTTCTATTTTACAAAATACATACTTTTAGAAAAAAAACAATTGTTAAATATTTGGTACATTGATTACCTCTACTAAAATATATTATCAGTGATAAAATCATAATTCTTATGTAACATATTAAAGTACAAACAATTATACATCGTCCAAATATTTTACAATATTTTTTTCCCCAAAAGTAATGGTACTGTAAAATATATACCGTTTGCACTTCATCTCATTATACAAAACGATATAGGGAATGACCTCTCTTTATTACTTTATGGTGCAGCCACTATTGTTGGTGGGAAATTAGGAAGGTAGAATATAAACGAGAATTAAATTTACATTTGTCAGTCTTTTTTCACTTACTTCTATAGTGATTAATTTTCCATATGATATTATCTTAGAATGTAGATAGGTATCAAATTTTAAAAAAAATGTAAATGTACAAAAAACAGTTCTAAAATATTGATTTGTAATAAATAGTACCATATGAAAAATTGACCATTATTGTAAAGATACATAAAACCAAAAAAAAATTATAAAACAATAAATAAAATTGATCTAGATAGAAAAGTACTATTTTGAGTATTCTCAGATTTAACTAACCTAATTCTTGATGATTATTCTGGTTTGGTATTATGGAACTAGATACATGAGATTGAGATGAAAAACATGAATTATCTAAAAACAATTTATTATATAATAATGTTATTATTTATATGAACCATTAATAGTATGAATTTTAACACCTTCTAATTTATTGTTTCTTTTTACTATCAAATATTTGAATTTGCCACTTTAACAATGATGAAAATGTTGTTAATTTCCCAATAACATATAAAAATCAATACATTTTAAAAGCGAATAAAACCTGATAGTGAATGAAGAAAAATTGAAGGTCAAACAGTTTTAAATGAAAATATGGAAAAAAGGATTCCTTAGAGAAGTGTATAGAATGGAACATGCATGAAATAAGAAAGGTACGTTTATAAAATGTTTAAGAGAGAATATGCCTAGTATAGATTTTGTGTTTTCATTTTTAAAAAGATATACAGCTTCTATAACTCCCAGAATATGTCAAATAAATAAAAGGTCAAGGACTGCTGTTTCGCCAGAACAAATAAAAGATTATTTTAACAATTTAGAAAAGCTAATTGATGAGATACCACTAGACTATCATTTACCACCTATGATGAAAACAATTTATCCGATGAACCAGGTAGGTCAAAAGTGATCACAAAATGAGACATGAAATATGAACAAATTATGAATTCAAGAAAATCATCAACATCCATTATGTTCGTTTAAGTAATTTCTTTTAAAGTATAAAATTTAGTGACAAATTTTATTATGTTTATAATAAATGGAATAATTATTAATTATTTTGTTCCCTTCCCATAAAAATTAAAAACAAATTGAAAATTATATGTATACATTTAAAAAATTATTTATTTATTTATTTTTAACTATTTAATGTTTTAATCCACTCCTGAAATGATTAAATCTTTAAACAAGATTTTTAAATCAATATTTTAAATTTTTCAATTGGCCCTAAATAAAATGAAATGAAACATAAGCATAAAAGACAATTTAATAAAAAAAAACTTTCAATGCTATTTTTCTAAACTATAAATATACATATGTATAATAATAATAATAAAGAATAACAATTCTAAAAGACTGTCCTAAGATAATAAAGATAGGTACAGATACTGTTACTGTGGTAATTTAATGTATATTTGTAAACTACGGTTAACTATTGTTAACAAAAAAATGATTCTAAGCGGAATTCAAAAATCAAAAAATGACTTCCCTAAAGTACCTCCCCAGTCCGATTTTCTTTCTGAAATTGCTATCATTGAAAATCGGAGAAAAATTGCTGGTAGACAAGATGTCTACAGAAAAAAAAAATAAAAATAATCATTGTAAAACCAATACATTCTTCGCTCCACTCAGAATCTAAATTATAATATAAATATCTGATTTTCAAATGAAGTCTAAAATTGGGTAAAACTCAAAAATTGTTTCGCTCCATATCATGCTACCAATATTTTGGTTATTCCTAATGATAAACCTTTGATATCATTAGCAAAGTCTAACATTTTGACTATAAAAGTCTAACACAGAATACAGTTACCTCGGACTAGATTTTCTATCAATTTAAAAAAGTTATACATTTTTTTTTTTAAATATATAAAAATTTAACTTCACTCAAATTGAAAAAAATATTTAAAAACTTACCACTATTTGCAATATTAGATTGTGTATATTGATGTTGACCATTATAAGTACTTTTATACATCTCAATAAATTCTGGGTCCTAAAAATAAAAATTAGGTCAAATTTATAATTTTAATTAAACTTTAGAAGTAAAAAAATAACAAAGATAATACAAATTAACTTACAAATAAACTACTTGTTTTACTGCAATCCATATCAGAATCATCATCACAACCTAAATCTGTTACGAAGTAATATATAAATATATAAAGTAATGTATAAATATAATAGTTATTTCAACTGATTTGTTATAGGTATAAAATATTTATTTTAAAACTATTTATAGTTTAAATAATACAATACTATTAGAAAAAATAATAGTTACCTGAAAAGGACCTGTTTATATTCACAGATAATATTTCATTATAGGGTACTGCTGCAAAATCAAATATGTTAGTTTTCTCGGAAGTAGCATTAATCACATTTGATTGCTCAGCTGATCCTAAAAAATTGTTACTAGTACATAAATATTAATAATAAAAAATAATCATAACAATATTGTTTGTTGTGGTTATTATTACTTGTTAATGTATCATGAAATGATGTTACGGGTTTCTGATATTCAGTAAAATTAATTTCTTCGTGCATATTCTGTAGAAAAAAAATCAAATAAATAATTAAAACAAAAAGTGAACCTAATAAAAATAAATAGGTGCATTAGTTTAAAATAAATTATCTAACTAAATTAATAGTAATAAAAAATAACTAGATTTAATATAAACTTTTTTTAAAGGTTTATAATATAAAAAAAGGTTAAAATTAAAAGGGAAATAAAATGTACTTTAACACATAATTAAAATTTAAGATTCTATGAAACAGGAATCTTTTGGGTACACCAATCAATTATACTATTTTAAAAGTTAACTTTACCAAAAAATCATTTATTTACTCCATTAAGAAGAGTGCTATATCCGTCATACAACAACACAATATAACAAATTTTTTTTCAGCAGGGATAACTATGTGCTATTAGTATTAATATTAGAATGAATTAACTTATTATCAAACTTAAAAATATATTATATTATATTTATCAAATTATAGACAACTAGCTGACTAAGTATCATATTTTTTTCATATCCAGATTCATTACACTTTCGTTCTCAAATATCAGGGGTCTTTTAAACTTAATGAAACAAATTGAAATTTTAAAAAATACCTTTGTTTTTTTACATGGTTGAATGTTCTTTGAATTTATTTTATCTTTATTAATATCGATTTTAACTGTATCTTGTATTTGTTCTGGTAGTAGATTAGGCGGCTTTTTAAATTCAAAGTCAGACTGCACTTCATTTGATTTACGTTTTTTAATTTTCAAATCAAGATTATCTTTATTTACTAGTTTTTTATTATTATCAAAACAACTATTTTTTGATTTTTTTGAAATACTTCTTATACATTGGTTGACATTCACATCAAATTGAGGATTTGTTTTTATAGGAGATAGTGAGTCAGTATTAGATAAATGAGTATTATCATTTATATCTAATACTTCACTTTCATTAACTTGTGGTTTATTACTTGGTATTGGAGGCTTAATAACCAATTTGTGTTGAAATGAAATATTATCATGATTAAAACTTGATATTAAATCTTTATCCAAAGAATCAATTTTTAAATCTAACATATTTGAGTCAAGTAGATAAGGAATTTGTATCCAATGAGAAATTTTATTAATTTTCTGAAAATAAATTGTGTACTATTAACTTAATTAATCATTAATTTCATAGGTATAGAATTATACATCTTTTCGGAATTCGAGCAATGCATTTTTCTGACTTAATTTCTCTTGGTATTCTGCTTCAAGTTTCCTGAAATAATAATGTTATTAAAACTAGTTTTGTTAAAGGGAAAAAAAAGTATATTAATTTTACGGGCAAATATTCAAAAATATTATAAATAACAGCAGCATACCTATATAGATATATTAAGAAAGAGAGGTAGTATATTATAAAATAACTAAATACAATTTGTTATTTGTATTATGATAACTAAACCAATTCCCAATAGGTAGGTAAAAAAAAAACAAGAGTTACCAAGTATTAATCCTGCGTGTGTAGTTTTTATTTGTATATAACATCTTCTTCTGTCAGCTTTTACAGTTCATGCAGAACCAAGAATTGCTGCCTCTATCACTTCTCTCTATTTACTTCTCTTCATTATATTTTATAATGTTCCTTGTGAGAGTTCGGCAAGATCTAACATCACCTTGTCACACTCATCTTTATCTAGGGAATCATGGGGCCTTTTTTCATTCAGTCTCCCGGTAAAAATATTGCCTTAAAATACCTTCAGATCTCCATATATAATCAACCCATTCTATTATTTTGATCTTTAAAGGTTACTAGACATTTATAATTTTTTATTTTAACAATAATATTAATTTTATAAAAAAAAATTGATTAAGTGATAACATACCTATATAATAACTAAACAAAAATTTACCTTAGTAAAGTAATGTCATTTTTTATATTTTCATCCAAAGATAAATTTTCTATATAAGCTGTTACAAATTGTACAACAATATTATTCCGCTTTTGATCTGCAACAATACAATCTCAATAAAATATTTTTATTTCGGCTCAATTTAAGATTAGATAGATAACAAATTCTATTTTTATGAATTTAAAAAATAAACAAAAATACATTTTAAAGAGAAAATATTAGCATGATTAACTAATCAAATTGAAAATAGAAAATATCTTACCATTTTCTACCTCAACATTATCAATTTTTTCTTTTAACATTTCATGATGTTCTAACAACTCCTCAAATTCTAGTTTAGTGCTTTCTAATTCTGAGTTGGCCATATTTAATGATTTAATTTCTGGTATATTATTTAATCGGTCCTACAAATGTATTAAATAATAAATATTTATTTTATATTCCTCCAATACTTAATTTATTATACACACACACACACACACACACACACACAACCTAAATATTTAAAGAAAACATTCTTTGATTTCATTCTTCATTCTCATTAATTAATTAATTAATTAATTAATATAACATAAATGCATTATTGAATCAGTTTTGAATAATTATTAATTTGTAAAGCTCAATTTAATTTAAATTTTAATTACCATTAATACTCAAAATCACACTCTTAAATTTAATACTTTTGTAATTCAAAGAAAATTAAAAAAATAAAATAAGATGTTACAAAATTACAAAATAATAAGGATATTTATCTAATACTAATATTTCCAAACCTCTTCTTTTCGCCATAATTCTGTTTTTAAAAAAAGCTGCAATTCATAATCTTTTTTTGATTTATTAATTGAAAATACTCTTTTATCATATTGTACATCTAGGTGAGCTATTGTATCATACAGAAAGATAATCATTTTATCCATACTAAAAATCAAAATAGTAAATAATAATCATAATAGGTACATTACAAATAAAAATAAAAAAAATAATAACTACCAAATACATAATAAATATGCCAAACAATAGTTTAATGGTTTAATATAAAATAATTGTACAAATATAAAACTTTTTATTTTATAACAACTAAATTTAAAAAAACGGACATACTTCATACATGGATGCAGCCAATGTTTTAGGTGAGAAGTTGGGAAAGTAGGATACAGAAGAATATTTAATGTATATCTGTAAGCAACAATAAACCATAGCTAACGAAAAAAATGTCTAAACGGAATTCAGTTGATAGTGTTGCTTTGTTAACAATACAATATATCAAATATGTAATATTATGGTAAAATAGTTACAACAATATTCGTTTTAATGACAACAATGATTGTTTCCACCTTCAGCAGACTAAAAATGTTTTATTGTGACATTTTTTAATAATTTTCTTACTAAGAATATTTAAACACTGGATTTTTGAGGAGGAGGGTGAATTTCAAAGGAATTGAAGCTTAATCTAACCTATCAGGGAGTGAGGACGCTTAACAGTGGAAGAGTGTGTGTACCATATTAGTTGTCATTCACAGATGACACAATGTTCCTTTTATACATTTATATACATATTTGGTAACAATTTATATTACTATAAAATGAATAACTCAATTGATAATTTATTTACTATTTAAAAATGAGTCAATATTTAGTTGATGACACCATAACTTGAATACCATCCAAGTTTTAAACTATTCTGGTAGATCTAAAAATGTTCTAGTATACAAACCTTTTTTTTATTTATCATTAATTTGCTCTTGTTATGGAAACATATGATAGCAGAACTAAACATTAATTATTAAATTATTTAAATTGATACACGGGTTACCTTCGTGATACAAATGAAATTTTAAAAAAAAGTATTGAGATTTTCATACAAAAATATCGAAATTTACGACTTTTTTAAAAATTGTCTTTCATAAGAACTTTGTTTTAACAATTATTTTTACACAACAAAAAAAAATATCTAAATTGGTCCATCCATAAGTTCCATACTGAATCCATTATCACCAAATATTGATTCATTTATATATATATTAGGTATTAATAGTATTATAATCTATATTATATAATAATACCACACTATGTTGTCCATAATTCCTTCTATTTTTGTATTTGTAAATTGTAATTGTTTTTCAATGAACTCATTTTTTAATTCGGCTTGTTTAATAGCATATTCAATATCTTCAATGCTTTTCTTTTTGACTACAACATAATATAATATTTCTGGTAAGATCTAGGTACAGTAAACTTTTATTATTATAGATTAGGTGCCTAGTTAGATACCTAACTAGTAATTTTGAAATAATATTTATCTTTTCATTCAAAATAAATATTGTGTATTATTTATAGAGTTGATATACTCACTGCGACATTTTTCTTCAGTTTGCCAAATTCCATGACTAGTTGTATACAAGGCTGCATGATATTTACAAAGTTCATCATCACTATTTAGAATATATTTATTACTTGCCATATTTTATCTGAAAATAATATTTAACAAACATTATAATAACACAACTAATATATTTTTATATAAATACCTACATAAATACATGTGGACCTAAGAAAATTACCTTCAAACTGATATTATTATAACGCAAAGAGAATTAAGTGAGTACCTAAGAATAAATCAAAATCAATCCCCTTGAGGTACTATATACCTACCCAATAGACTTGGGTTTTAGATTCTGAGTGAAACATGAAATATATTAGATAGTTTGACTGTTTGGAATCTTGAGGAAAGGTATCTGAAACTAAATTTTGTCTAAATGGTGCATAAGATAGGTAATTTTTCAAGATTTTATTGAACTTCATTTAATAAAGGAGAAAACTGGAAAACTAGAATATTTATGCAATACTAATTATTTTTATGTGGATTTTTTTTTTTTACTTAAATCAAAGAAAAATAATCCGAAACATAACATTATCCTCATAAATTAATATATTAGGTACTTGGTAGCACTTTCTGGATAATATTGTGTAATTTCAAAAATATTCTAGCATTTTATGATTTTATAAATAAATAAGTATTTATTTTTATGACTAGGTATTTTAAATTGTCGAGTTTCAATGAATTATTAATAATAATAATAAAAATAATAAAACTTTATTGCAAGAATGGAATATTTTTAAATTATTTTACAAAAATATTAGTATTATATGGATAGGTACAATTTGTTTGCCCCCATAAATATGCTCAAAAATTTGATACAAAATTCTTCATTAGTCTGACAAGGTTATCTATAATTAGTGATTTTAAATTTTTGATTGTTATTTTGAAAGTGATTTCACTTTTTTATGTTTTCATAAGCGTTTAAAGTTCGAATTTATGATAAAATTAGTTAAAAGCAGGAACATTTGTTTTTTAACAATTGAATAATTAATTTTTTACGTACAAATGAATACTAAGTTCAATTTAAATTTAAAGAAGTATCTACCTATCAAAAATTGTTAAACTGGTTTTTCTTTTGCAATGATTTCTTGTAATAGGTATAGGTACAGCAGAATAAAAAACTATATTAGGTACCGATAGGTATGTTCTACCTTCCTAACATTCCACGATTCACCTAAAGCTACCTAAGAGCCAATGTCCATGATATTATACCTAACGAAGTTTATCTAAATAATCTTATCATAACTCTTTAAGAATTGCTTCTAATATTATTATAATAAATACAAAGTTTATATTCAATTACTTACGTCTAAGAACTGTAATACAATAATATTATGTATGTACTAAGTATTTACTTACTTTAATATGAAGACTTCTACTAAATTAACATTAAGTTGTACTAGGAACCTAGTATTTCCCACAAGTCTTATTCAAATAGATATTGTAACTAAATATTGAACTAACAACGGAAACCGTGATATAACTCAAAGGCCTCAAAATACCAAGAGAGTGGAAATAGTAGTCGCACAGGACGAATTTACGGGTGAACTGTTCGGCAGCTGAACACCCGAACGACGAAAAGGTAATCAATACTATACACGAGTCACGAGGTTTCTTAATCAACCAACAAATAGACGGCAGTTAGTGGAAGACCTAGGCCACGGTTATAGATAGACAGGTAGATAACCGTGTTCTGACGGCAGCTAATACAATCATTTGGATGCGGTTTTCCTAATTCCTATAACACAAATGCATGCTACCTATGTAGGGTTTGCGGCAAGTTTAACGGAGAGAGAAACGATCGTTTCTATTTCATTTGTTGTGTGACGAATGACAAAAAAAAGTGACAATCGCGCAAGAAAAATGTACCTATTATAGTGATATTTTTTTCGCGCCAAAACTACAAAATCACCATGTGATATCTGTATTTATAAATTGTAAGTACTCATTATTATTTTATTTTCCGGTTAATAAGTTTTTAACTAAATAATTAACTTATTTAATGTAGATATTATTTTTTTACTATAAAATGGATGTCGGACGCATAATTTGTAAGCAATACCGTGGGTTGGACCGGGCCGGCGAAGTACTGATCAAAACTCAATGAGCCGTTCAAAACAATTGATTCATGGGCTGATTGTTGATAATTTATAATACATTGGTATTCTATAAAATAACACGGTAATATTATTATAGTGTATTAGTCACTCGGTCACTAAAAAGCCAATTATTGGCATATCATTATTATTCATATTAATCATAATGTACAGTTAGGTACCTACTGGCTAAAACCATTGATTGTACATGTATATTGTATTTATGTTTGTATGCAAAATACTAAACTGTGATATTGTGTTTAAAAACGTGAATGCTCATTTTTTATTCATTTAGTTTTCTAAATCAAATATATTTTGAACAGGCTCAGAAGTATGATGTCTCAAGAAAAACTTTAAAACTTTTTACTTAAGCCAGTAGAAAAAAAACATTTGGCTTACCTAGTAGTACCTACTACCTAGTATTAATAATGATAACAGTGGGCGTAGTCAGAATTTGTTTAAGCTAGGTGTTTTTAATTTGTGTTTATATTTAACTTTGTAACTTTAATGTGTGTATGTAACTTTGTAACACGCATAACATATAGGTATGTACTTAATAATTATCTATACGTTACACAACATCTTGTACAATCTTGTAGAAATCTGATGCATAACTGCACATAGTAAAAATTTTAATTTGTTGGCATAAATATAGTCAAAGAGGGAAGGGGTGTTTGAACACTAAAACATTCCCCCCCCCTCGCTACGCCTCTAAAAGATAATGTAATTTATTCAATTCTCTCACTTCACTCAGAATCTAAAATTTGGCGAGTCTATTTTTAATTTGACCTCTGAGATTGGGGTCACCGTGTGTTTATTTTAAACTTAGGGGTTGTTCTGTTTAAAAGGATTTAAAGCCTTCGGGGTTTTTCTTTATGGAGAATACACGTAATGAACTGAATAAAGGACCGATTTTATAATAAAACCTCGGGCCGAACAAGATTCCCAGCCCGACCCTGGGGATTAATAATAAAATCACCTTTTACTTGTAAGTACCTACCTACTATTTAAACAAATAATAAATAATTAGTATTATATAGTTATACACGCATTATGAAACATATTTGTCAAAAAGTCTATCGTTAGTCTGTGTTTGGTTGATTAACGAAGAAAGAATAATACATTTTATTTTAAATTTGTACGGCTTGTTTTCTACAGGGTTACCAACTTACAAATTATGTGATATAAGACGACAATATTTTTTTCATGTCTTATTTTATATCATAGCTAGTTTAATGAAAAATGTGATTTTCACCTTTTCAATTTCAAACTTCAAGTGAGTCCTTTTCATAGCCATGATCTTGGTTCCAAGGTCGCCAGGATCGCATAACCTCTAATTACACGGACGGTATCCACGTACGTGAACCCCTTGGCTACCCTGATCAAGACCGCCGGCAGGATTGGACTAGGTCATGGGGACACCGGCGCATGCCAAGGTGAACCTCTATAATTTTGGTTAAATTAGACCGCTTAGATTTTTTTGTTTTTAATTTAATGCGTCTATCTTTTATTCTTAGGTCGCGCGCACATTGTACACGAATTTGTTTCGTACGAAAACGTACGAATACTGATCGTACGAATTGATTGCGCACACTGAATACGTTTTTTTTCCGTGAAATAGTCAGTGTTCCGGTGATATCGCAATCGTGACGTCCTTGTTATTAGAACCTTATTGTTATAACCTTATTATTAGAACGCAATGAATAATCTGTACCTTCAAGATAATTCTCTTCTAATCCGGAGACGGCTGCGTCGTCGTCATTATCGTACGAACGTTAATGAAATCCGGACAAGTTCGGATTGTTTTCGTACGTCAAAGTTACACGTACGTATACGTACGAACAAATCGCACCCAGTCTGCGCGCTCACATAGTATTTGGTAGGCCGGGATCGTTCGGGCGTGTACGTACAAGTTCGCGCGAATCAAATTCGTACGAAAACGCATCCAATGTGCGCGCGGCCTTGATAATAAAATAAAAAATATCGCACTGTAACGTGACGCCATTAATGGTATGCGGCGACACCGAATTAGATAACTCGTAGTTTGAAGAATGAATACATTTAATGTCGCGATAGGCCGATTGATAACAATGATATCGTCATAATATTTATAAATAGAACAACTATAGGAAATTTGAAAATAAAAGATGTGTACAACATGATAATCATACGAGTGTAAGACGTACCGTTTGCGTTAGTTTAAACAACATAAACAACCTAAAGAAAACGTTAGTATGGGTAGACACGGTTGTGCAAGATTTTCGATAAAAATAATTTTCATAAGACTTTTATTTAAAAACTTCAATAGGTTAGACGTTCAGTCAATAACAATAATAAGTTGTTGTCAGACTGGGGTTGAAGAGCCTTTCTGGTCTGCACGTTAGCCGTCTTGGTTTTACAGTCGATTACCATGCTCCAGGTCGTGTTGTCTGTCGCCACTCCGATGGTAGACTACGAGTTCGGGACTCCGGCTTATTCGTCTCATCCTTGCCGGAAAGCCCAGACTTACAGATCCCGCTGGAACGGCCTGTTTTTGGGGTGTTTCCAGTTTTGGCCTGGGTGTCTTTACTTTCATTGGTGGGGTACGCAGGAATGTGGGCCCTTCTGACCTTTGTGGCCCCTTGGTTCTTTCTCTCCACCGTTTCCTTTTTTTCTCGTTGCGAAGTTACTATCAATAGGACCAAATCCATTGGAATGCCAGATGATTTCTTAACCTGAGCCGAAGAAGCTTGGAAGAAGACCTCACATATTGGAGATCGGACAGTACCCTCCTAACGATCATAAAGGCGTCCGTAATCATCGGGATGCGCGGGCCGATGACGTTTTCAGCTAAATATTTTTCAATCAGCTCTTCCACCGTAAGTCGGACCGAAGCAGCTACAACTATGGTGTCTGCCTTCTCGCTACCCACCGGAGTGGAAAAGATGGAAGACGAAGTCGCCATCGTCGGATGCAGTTCAGACTGGACCTGTGCTTTCCTAGTGGAATTTTTTCTGAGAAATCTTATTTGTAGCTACGGCAATTTAAAATAAAAACGTTTCAAAGCAACACTATCAACTGTATATATATATATATATATTAAATTACCTATTACAGTGGCTATACATGTTCGCATTATCCTAGAACAGCTTTTTCAAATTTTTTTTTGTCCACGTAAAATTATAGGATTGTCTCATCGTCTATAAAATGGAATAGATAATGGGACCACTGAAAAATTACAAATGCCAATGGCCGTCTTTACCGGATTTCGTTCATTTGAAATATGAAAGGAAAACGCGAGCGATTTCTACTAGTGGTGTAGCTAGGGGTAGCCAGGGGGGACGGGGACAGTTGTTTTTTTATATTTTTATTGTAATTATTTCATGTGTATGTTACTAAATGTGGTTTATATTTTCATAATTTATAAGGAAGTATAATATATGTTTAAACGCAATAAAGGAAATAAACTTGTAATTTTGCGTTAGTTTTTTTTTTTTTTTTGTCCCTCTTCATGAGAAATCCTGGCTACGCCACCGATTATTATCGTGGCTACACATAAACAGACATATCAATGTTATTTTAACGTCAACAAATGTAGTATTTGAATATTTAGTGAAAAGTTGGAACTGAGCGAACAATTTAATCTGTTGCGCAAAATAAACAGGATATATAGATGGCGGAGGGAAAAATCGATCAGATACCAATGTTCGTATCCATATTGAAAAACTTAAATGATGCCTGTGGCTCAGAATTTTTATAACCGCACAAATTATTATAAATTCGCATCACGGTATTTTTTCTGAATTTACGATTGTATATGGTAACCTTTTACTCTATCACAAGCTAAGGCTTAAAAGAGTATACGATATATATTCTTATGTTATATTATTAATAGTTTTTTTTTTTTTTGTATGTATTTGTAGTATACATAATGTGAAGAAATTTAATAAATCAAAAATGTGTATAATATATACGTATATTGAAATTGAACTGTTGTAAACAAATTATTCTATATATTTCGAATTACTATAACTTTCTTATATTATATTAATAGACTCTATTAATCAAGTCAAATGCATACATATCGGGGCGAATAAATTGTATACCTATGGGGCATGCGGTGCTATTGCATTCCAACACCCCTGCCAGTCCCGCTTGCACGTGCGCACGGGTTTTTTTTAAGTACACGGTTTTACATAGATCCTAATGTTAATTTCACGGGAATGCGTGAATGCGCGTGGTTAGGTTAGATGAGCTATACCTGCAGTGGCGCCAAGTACGTATTTTAGCTGGTTCAAATAAACCAGCGAAATTTTAAGGCGGGCGGTCACAAAAGTAGATGCTATGGCCTCGGGTGTATTAATATATATTAGGCGGAAAATGTGTGCGCATATACAAACAGATAGATTTTCGATTTTTTGCCGCGTTCGGGGTGATGGGCCATTCCAGACACGGATCCAGAGCATAGATCTAGGGGTGGGGGGGAGAGGCGACAATTTTTTTAAAACACAAATTAAACCGAAATAACACGTCATGTATATTATTTTCTCATACACGTCAGTGATTGGGATGTCTAGTAATATCAGGAACTATAGGATTGAGAAAAAAAAAAAAAAAATTCGGAGAAATAACATGTCTGGGGGATGGAGGTTGCGGGTGTTGGCTGGGCTCCTAGGTCCCCTCTCTCGGATCCGTCCATGGATGATTCAAACGGAGTTTCGAGCCGTTATAATAGACCACCAGACCCGGCGCCACTGGGCCGTACTATCCAATGGAATAATATTGCCGCGGAACGAAACGTAAATTCCTCGGCGGACATCGCGCGGTGACGACGGTGTTGTCGCGTAATTATTATATTATTGTAGCTGCGCGGTATATCGCGCGCGGCGGCGGCGGCGGCGACGACGAAGACGACGACGGCGACAGCGGCGATTGTTGTAATAATAAAAGTAATAATAATAATAATAATAACAGTTCGCCCGCCGCAATGCCTACGCGTCGTATTTTACAACAATAATATTATACGGCGGCCAGTAGGTACCCGTATAACAACGGCCGCCATTATAATACGCGCGGTCTCAAAATGCAGGCGCGCGTGCCGTACCGCAACAGCCGCGGCGTACCTAAAACACGATTTATAACACCGCGCGTACCGTTCGGTGTGTTATAACTGGCAGGTTCGTGTAACACGCGCTTTTAGTGACCGATTTAACGTGAGCCTTATCTGAAACGAGAGGATTCCGGTCGCGTCCACGAGTGTTTAAAACGCGTGACGTAGTGATGCGTGCGCGAGCGTTTGTGCGTAAGCGCGTATGTGTGTGCGCGCGCGCTTGTGCCTGTGCGCGCGTGTGTGTGTGTGTGTGTGTGTGTGTGTGTGTGCGAACGGTTTACTGTACAGAGGATTCTTACGGTATTATGGTGTGCGAAACAAGTGCCGTTTCAGTCTGTCTCTAAACGTCCCGCCTTTACGTTTCACAGACTTTCGCAAACGCCCCCGGCAATCGCGCCTCCGGGAAAACCGTAACCGTCACCGCCGCCGCCGTCGCCGCCGCACGCCGAAATAATACGATATTTCATAATGGCGCGTTCGTTGAGCTCAGAGCAGATTTCGGAGTTGAAAAAATCGTGGTCGAAGCTCGCACGGGACCCGTGTCGACTGGCGTCCGACTTGGTCATCAGGTATAGAACAATACGCACAACAATCATTACATTGTAATACAAATACGGTACCTAATAATATCACGGTACTTGTGCAACGTAGCTAACAATATTATCGTTATCACCGTGATGATTCGGGGCTGTTTGCGATATTAGGTACGTAGAAAAATGCGTATTTTGTGCGCGTGCGTATGTATTGTAAAACGTGGCTTTCTAGAAAACCGTACGAAATATTATTGCATATGATTATTGTGTGTTTCGGTTTCGGGACCTTTATTGTGGACTGGCCTGTACATTTTTGCTATTATTATTATTATTATTTTTTTCTAATGCATTTTTCCATTTTTTTCGTCGCGTTGTACGTTACGGCGTGTTTAACACGAGTGTCAAAAGTTTATCCATTACAGACAAAAAAAAAAAAAGTAAACATTTTCATAAACTGTTTAATGTAAACCTATCGTTTGTAAGCAGCAAGCACTTGTCAAGATATATTTGAAAACGTTTTCTTTGCTATAAAACGGAGCAATAATAAACATTTTTTTTTCGTTTAAAAAAAACTGAAATTGTTTATAGTTTTAAAATTTGGATTTGTTTTTAGTACATTTTCTCGAAATATAATAGAAGAGGGATAATATCAGACTTCCTTCGCACCATAAGTAGGCAACAGTAGTTTGTGGGCAATTTGAAAGATAGAGAGAATAGGTCAATTTAATTTGTATACACCGACTGAAAGCGACTTTAAAATTAAAAATTGCAATCGTAAAATGTTTCTAGGTGGAGAAGTATTAGTTTTTTTCTTTTTAGCCCAGGTAAATTCGGAAAAGTTCGAAACATTTTGATTTCTGGGAAAACAAATTTGAAAAAAAAAACAAATACAAAATGCTTTTTTTTTTCGGAAAAAAAAATCGGGAAATTCGAAAATTTGTTGTAATAAAGTACCCTTTGGTGAAAAATCCGCATCTTCTAAGGTATGGCATGAACAAATCGGAAATTTTCAATAATCCTAATGTGTTTTGCGAAAAGAACAAAAACAAAAATCTTTGTAAAACGAATAGCTTCTTTATTTGTTGCACACGGAATATAAACGAGTATCTACATAAATTAATATATTATATCAATTGGATTTCGTATCGAAGGACAATATAAAGTTCTCCCGTTTTATTTTCGATTGACAACCAAACGGTCCAGTTCGTTGTTATTTTCATACGCCTTACGGCAATTTGCTTGGTTACAACGGCACGGACAGCGGAGCGTACAATGTACATGCACGAGGTAGAATGATACGTGACAATCAAAATCATAACGGTTAATTAATATACAGAGAAAAAAAAACAAATAAATATTGTTATTATTATTTTACTTTATTATTATTATTATCCTATATAGGTTTAACGTATAGCGTATAATATACTGCACACCTACTTGAAACATTTCAAAATTATTATTATTAATTTTTTATTTTGTATGTATTACTGTATTAGCCGCATAATATATTACAGAATTATCCGTATTGGCCATCCATACCGAAACTGTCCATACAAATTTGTCTAAAAGTCCAAAATATTTATAAATTTTCTAAAAAAAAAAAAAAACCAGCAATGGCATTATTAATTATCTATTGAATTCGTGGACACATTCGTTGATTATTTTAAAATGTGAATTCCTACGCGGCACGTTAAACTCGAATAAATTTCGGTCTTTCGATCAGTCGTTTTTAAAAATAGGTACGTCATTTTAATTTAGATTTCGTGACGCGATTGACATTCGGTCCATCATCCATTCGGGGGAAAATATTATAACTAGTGGTGAGAAGTTGGGAAGATAAAGAGGAAATTTAATGTAACCTATATCTGTACACAATGATTGTTCAATGCTAATGAAAAACGATTCTGAGTGGAGTTCGGTTGTACACGTTTTGAAAGGCCGTAATATTTACGATTTTAAAATAGTAATACATTTCGTAAATTTGCCCGTTTTTCCTACTTTTATCCAAGTTTTGCCATTTATTATGAAAACTCCTTGGAAAATCAAACAATGGCCGTCATGAAGTATCACCCCAGTAAAATTTTCTTTCGGTAAAAGTGCTACACTTGCAAATTGAAGTTAAATTCCCTGTAGAAAAGTTGTTCACAAAAAAAAAAAAATAAACACAATTGTATAACCAACATATTTTCTCGCTCCGCTCAGAATCTAAATTTGGGTTTTCGAAGTATGTCGGTTGATTTCAATATAAATTCGTGGTTTTCGTTTACAAATATTGGACCGCGGGTAACGGTTTTGTATCAGTAGTAAATATTGGAATATCGGGTCGTGTCGGCTCACCACTGTTACTATTATTACAACCCACTGTAAAATGATCGAAATGTCGGATGTAAAAAACGCACGTCTAGCTATATCACTAATAGTTCATCAAACTAAAGCATCCCGATATTTGTAAAAATAATTTTGTAAGTAATATAATATTGTATGATAGGCAGTAGGTACTGCAGCAGCAATGGGTTTTTTTTTTTTTTTTTTGGGAAGTATAATATTATGAAAACTGCTGGTTTGGTTGTCGGTAAAATGTTTGATTGACGTCAAACATGATAAATCGGCCGTGTAAATATTATACATACCCATACGTTTCGGTAAACTTTGGAATTATGTGCTTTATAAGAATTGGCCAATTTCCGCGTAAAACAAATATAGACAAATTCAATTTAAATTCTCTTTCTTTTCGACATTGTATACGCCCAACCATATGTTAATTTAATAATATAATATTTATGCTGGGTTGCATATACGTTGCATCAAACGTTAAGAGCTTAAATGAATCATTCAATTATTTAATGATTCATTAAATGTTTATTAAATTTATTAGTCCCCTAAACTTCAGGTGACCCGTTCACTAAATTATTAGATGAGGTTTGAATTCAATTCATCGAAAAGTTAATTGGTTTATCCATAGACTCGGTACTGTAAGGTCTATTATGCGTTTCTTTATAATATATATTATACGTGTTATTTGCACGCTTATGTATTTTGGAATATTTTTATTTTAAAATATTTGCGAATAAAATTACATATTTATTAAGATGTTAGATATAGTTTTGCGTTTATCAATAAAACCAACAAACTTCGGCGATTAATTTATAAAAATGAAATTGTTAACGAAAGTTAGATTGAGATTAAAAGATGAAAATATATCAATATGATATCATTTTTCTTGGTAGCGAAGTTACAAACCAACATATATTTAATTAGGAATTAATTAATTATAATTAATATAAATATTATTGACAGTCCAATAAAACTTATTGATCATTAAAATATAAATGTGAACAATTATTTTCTACCATAACCATTTAAAAGTTATATTCAAGATGCAATACGCCATTAATACCTTGAAATGTTTTTATGTGTGCAATAGTGCATACAAATATTAATTTCCCTATTCCTTTGATTAGTATGCATTTCCTGATCAATATAATATAATAGAAATATACAAACGTTTAATATTATTCATTATAGGTTGCTCTGTCTGTGCGACCTCTATAAACGTTGCCTAGTTCGCAGTTAAACTTCTCATTCTCTCAAATTATAATATACCCTCTCTCTGATATCAGTTTATTACTTTGCCAGTCTGTTTATTAATATTACACATTTTCGCCTTTACGTTGAAATCATTTAGGTTTATATTCCTATATTTTATTCAATTGGTTTTTTTGTATGTCTTAAAGGTTATTCAAAGAAAATCCTGAGTACCAATCGCTATTCAAACGGCTAAAGGGTTTATCGGTAGACGAACTCGCGTCCAATTCCCAATTTAAAGTACATGCGTCAAAGGTAGGCGCTTCGCTAGTGTCAGCTGTCGACCATCTCGACAAACCCGACGAATTAGAAGAGCTACTTACAGATCTCGGCATCAAACATAAAAAGTATGGGCTAACGCCCACACATTTCCAGGTGAGTCAATAACGCTGGTTTTTTTAAAAATAATTGTAATATACAGACGTTTTTTTCATATTGTTTTAAAATTATAGGGCTAATATACGCAAATATATTACAGTATTATATTTTATGGTATTTCATTTTATTCTATTTTAATATTATTTTGTAAAAATCGGATTAATTTCATTATTTGCAAAAAACTGAGAAAATCGTTGTAACCAGTGCCGTATCGAATTTGAAAATCGTTTGATTACAAATCGAATTTAGTATACCACCTATCATACCTATCATATATCTCTAACCATAGGCCACAAGTGGATTATATTCGATGGCACTCGTAGGGGGATGAGAGGGATCCATTCTCTTTCCATTTATTAACCCATCATTTAATGTTCATTAATACTATAGAGATATAGGTATGTCTGGGTCTTAATGTAAGTTATAATACTTATTTAAGTACCTTCTCTAAAGAGGCTATTTGTATTACTTTTGCTACTGTACATCAGTGATATAGCATAGGGGTATCAACAGGTGTATTTGCTCCTCTAGAATTTGTATTAAATACTGAATAGTACTTTCTTGCAACTTTGTGAATTTTTATATTTCATATTTCCCTCCTTTTTATCCTAAAAATAATTCTCAGATACGCCTCTTCTGCTCGTTTTTGTAGGTCATAATACATAATACGATACATCACTTATTAGTTTCTTAATTTTGATTATTTTTGAAAATGTAACCCTTTCCCTACAGAATTAAATTTACCAAAGAAAATATTTTTTTTCTTAAAATATTATTATTCATGGGCGAATTAATTCTTACGTGAAGTTCACCAAGTTTGGAGAGAAAGGGAATATTAATTGGAAAATTATAAAGTACATCGGTAGTTAATGAAATAATATATATATAGTATAACTTTTTTGTTTTATTCAATATTATTTTATTATTGCACACGTCATATCAAATGCATTATTTGATTAATATAGGTAGGTATCTATTAATTTGTTGTATGCAAATCGTTTTAATCGTTTAAATTTTTTGTGTTCACCATAAAACAGAGATGTACATTAAATTTTGTGCGCATAACATGGATTTTTGCCAAACAATTTTCCATTTTATATCTTTGACAGTCTCTGTATTTGGACAAATGACTCATATTATCAAATACGAACATTTTTAAAAAATAAATAAGTATGGTCACTGCACAACTGATAAATTATTATTTACTATTGTACGAAGTACCTATCTATGAATTTGTAAAGACAATACCATTGTCTTCAAAGAATATTTTTGCTGATAATAATAATATAATAATTATGTTTACATTAAATATAATTAAATAACATACCTATAAATTAAATTTGAAGAATCCATGTTTTATTTTTTTTAAATAATAACGGGACATTATCTAATTACCAAATATTATTTTTTTATGTTATGCTATCTATAGGTCGAGCACAGCACTATCCCAAAAGAGGAATGGTCTATAGCAAGGTTAATTAATAAGATGTAATCACTTTTACCCGCCCGCCAAACATAAATTGATTGAAATCACAATACTGCAGTTAAAATTTTTACTAGATTCGTTGCCTACCCGATAGAGGACCAAAAATTATATTATTTGTATGCATTTTAATAGAAAAATAACTAAAATTATGGACATAGTTTATTTTTTTTATTGAAAAAGTACATTTAAAATGATACACCTATAAAGATAAATTATGCTATATTTATTAATACGTATAAATACATAATATAATAGTATAAAAAAGTTATTTATGATATTATTCATAAATAATATACTATAGGTACATACTTACCTGGTATGTGTCAACTGTCAATAGATAACTATTGCTTGAAAAATTTGATATGATTATTATTAGGAGGTAGTATTCGTATTTACTTTTGGTGATAGGTAATAATAATATTTTTGTTAATAATATAATTATATTATTAAAATATATTTTATTATAGTTAAAAATTGTTTTTTTGTTATTATATTTTCTACAGCAAAAATCATTCTAGTATTTAAATAAAATTGTATAATGTATTTCGTAAGTTTTTATTCATGATCCGTACGGTCCACTTTAAACTCAAACCCAATGCCTTCAAAAATTACTCTATTCATAACTATATTGGTTTTATTATTAAAAATAAAAAAAAAATAAGACATATTTATAATAGGTATGTATAGGAAAAAATCCATTATTAAAAATGATTAATTACTAACCATATTCTAAAATATTTGTATTTATTTGATTATTATTTAGAACATTGATTATGGCTGTTTCCAAGCTATAAACAAGTTTCATTAGTGTATTTGTCGGTATGAATAAATTTTCTTCCACTCAAGGGCGGATTGGAAACATAGTAAATAAACCAGCGCGAGGTTGTTGTAAATGATGTTTAGTTACATTCATGACATTTTTAAGTTTCAACCACAAACATTTTTTTACTATCATAAAATTAATAATAGGTATATATAATTTTATGTATACATATATTTTTGTAAAAGTGGCAATATGTTAATATATTTGACTTTCTCATAAATTAAGTCCATCCCCGATATTTTATATTTAGACCTTTCTATAAGTATAGTACATCACCTAAAATTATTCATATTCCATACTATATAATCAGCTGTTTTAACTTAGGTACACAATTTCGAAAAATTATTTTATTAAGCAAAACAAAATATAACTATCTGTTTAAAAACCAACCACCTTTCCTTTTTGATATATTAAATTCACTCATATGACGAAAAATTTTCATAAAATCTCACAGGAAGATTAGAGATAGGTACTTATTAGAATAATAAGTAATACAAATTAACGAAAACATAACACGCACATGCTTCGTCGGTTAGTGTCGAGGAGAATAAGTGTAGAAACTAGAAAGTAAGCAGTCCGTGCGAGCAACGGACCGACTGGGTGACTTGCATGATGTTATAAACGCTGTGCTCGGTGGACGATTTGAACATAATAATATACATGAAAACATATATAACACTAATTGTGATAATAATTATACAAAATAATACCAAAGAACAAATGAAATCATAAACATTAGATAATAACATTTTAACTAATCTACGATACCTAATCTAGATAACCGTCTCTATTGTTTATTTTCCTATTTTTTTTTTTTTTTTTTTTATCGAAAAACATTCGTAAATCACGATTTATTTATTAAATTAAACAATAATTAGAATAAAGATTAAAAATGATTTGTCTACGAAGCAGTTCAGTCCATCGGGGAAACTCCCGAATCCGCCCAATCCGCCCCTATCTCCACTTCTAAGGTTAACAAATTGGGTCTAAGGTTGGTTATATGGATTATGAATATGAACTTCCGAAATACATTATACAATTTTATTTAAATACAAGAAAGATTTTTGCCTGTAGAAAGTATAATAAACAAGTGATACATACAAACTATGATATGGTTTTAAAATATTTAATTGAATAAAATACAGTCAACTCAGGATATAGATAAGGAATTTTCATGGACCGAGAAAACGTTCGGTACCTATATTGAAAGTTCGTTATATCAAGAGCATAAACTAACAAAATTTGTTTTAGAGGTTCCGGATTTATAGTATTTTTAATCATCAAAATAAGTATTGGAAAAAAACGCTTTACCATTTCACTATAAGCACTTAAAGTTATTAAAATATAAGCAAAAAAATCCATGACAAAAATTATGAACACTAGATATTTTGTTTAATTATCATTTAATTTGTACGTTTAAAAACATAAAAAAATAACATTTTTTCTTCAAAAAAATCAAACATTTGTCATTTTAGAGTATTTTAAAACATTTTAAATTCATATAGATTTTTTGAGATATACATTTTAAATGTTTTAAACGATTTTGAGCGGAACTCGTTCGATGTCTTTTTCATTGTAACCTGGCATAAGTTTTTATAGCAATCTGCTTGAATTTTATGTTCTTCTTCTCTTTTTCTTCTTCTTTGGTTTCGGTCATTCAAAACCACATATCTAAATAAGCATGTTGCCATCAATCTTTCGGCTATTTGGTTTCACTTTTTCAGTATCTTTTGTAACACAATATTCCCATCTTAAAAATAATTAAATTAAAAAAATAATCAAAGGCTTGAACGCTTTAAGTTCCGAACCCTAGTAATTACTATGTATACGTAATGGCTCATTACATATATTTACATATATGAACAGTAATTTAAAATATATTTTTGAACATTTTTCGTAGAGCCATTAAACATTTATCGATATCTTATAATTAGGGAACGGATTTTAATGCAAATTGCATTTTCTTCTGATTGTCAGAAAACATTGCTTTCCAAGCACAAAGTTCATTTCATACATCAAGGAATTAAGAAATGTAACTTTTATTTTGCATATTTTTGCATTTTTATGTTTTTAAGTCATTTTTGTATAGGAATGGATAAAATTCGATAAAAATGTAGATTAACATTCATTCTAAAAAAATAAAAATAAATATTTATTATGTTTTTACCAATCGGATAAACCCCTGACTCCAGACGAAATTATTTGTTGACACACGTATATACATATATACAAGTAAAGATAAGATAATCTATTTATCTAAATTGTAATTTTGTATTGCACTGTTGAGTTGAGTCATTACTTCATCAAAATTAATGTTTTTTAAGGCATTTTTTTAGTGTATTTTTTGATATTAAAGCATTTTTTTAATGATTTATACTACCACGAAAATATAATACGTGCATTATATACTTAGTTACAAATATAAAATTTGAGTAACACTTTGAATAGTTAATTTCTATAGGTTTTAGGAACTTTTTCTTGGCGGCGTACAGTACGAGTAGAGGTATCACTCATAGTAGATACTTACACCTATATATAACTTGAACGGATAGGTAATTTTGCATTTTATAATATCGTAGAGTGTATAGTAAAATAATTAATTTCTGTTTTTATACGGGTCTAGCTGGCACGTAACTGCTAGAAGTCTGATGGGTAAAACGAAGTAGGTAACATAGTAAACATAGTATGAAATGTTCTGAATTATTGTACATAATTTTCATTCATACCCGTCTCCGTGTCGTAAATAATCCAAAAATTTGAACATCGGAGACCACGGAATCCTATAATAATATAGTATATTTAATAATAATTAATAGTATCGGTACCGTTAAAATGTTTAAGGTTATTGGAGACGTGTTGATTTCCATGATAGCCGAAGCGATCGGCGACACCGAACCAGAATTATTAAACTTGTGGAAATCCAGTTTGGCTTCAGTGATAGAAGTTGTGGTAGCAGCATGTTGTTGAACGTGAGTATTTTTCATTTTGCTCAGATTTTAATGAATTATTTTAATCGAATAACGTACGTTTTATTAAATTAAAATTATATCAACCTTTACGCTTTACGATTTTCGATAGTGCTGATGTATATAATATTGTACTGAACGGCAAAATGCGATTTTTTGCAATGACGTCGTTACTGCGATAAAAATAAAAATTAATACCATAGTTAAAATAATTTTCGTTGGTCGTTAGTGCGAAATAGTGGACTAACAATAATATAAAATTACAAACAGTGATAGTAATTATGAAAAATGTTTCTATTATTACCTATTATTGGAAGGCAGATTTGACTTATTAGTTATTTCCTGTATCCGCTATTCCAATACTTGGTGCCGTTATAAAACCGATATATGATACTCTAATATTATTGAATTCGTGATATCGGCCTATGTACGATATTAGCTTTTATTCACCACTAATTATTATTCACTCAAGTGTATGCTATTTTGACGGAAGCGTTAGAACGTATATACCTCACTGGGTTTTTTCGTGTTTTGAAACCTTGCCTTCGTCACGCTTAAATCCTTATACAAGTAGTACAACACAACGTTCTGTACAATTTCTATACTTATTACAAATTATTATTATAAAGATTTTGAATTGATTTATTGATGAATTTGATTTAAAAAAAATAGATATCGATAACACTTCACGATTATGGCTTTAACGCATTTAACCTTATTTACATACGTGGTTTATTTATTGATATAACACTAGAGTGATAAAACGGAAATTTACACGATAACTTGTTGAAGTTGTTGAGAGCTGGGATTAATAATACTGACGGGCAATATTATAGACAGAATATTAAGACAGATTGCTATACAGAAATATCATTATCATTTACTAATAAATCGTTATTTTTATTTTCGTTTGTTTAGATAAATGCGTTTAAAATTGATTGTTTAGAGTCCGTGTATCTATCGGACCACAACAATTTCGCGATCTATTTTATTCATCAAACGTCACACACACTGCAATTATTAATATTGTTATTTCTACGACATATACAGGTGACTATTCATTTCCGTAACAATTATAATATTATATACCTGTATTATTATTATTTGTGTACGTTTTTGTCCAGTATTTTGCGAGTGGTCTCGTTCGTATTTTATTTTTCAAATAAATTATTAATTATGTGCTCGTCATATAATTATATTATATATAATTATTAAATTATTAATACGTGTTATCATCGATAATTTAATTGGACTCACACGAAATAACACTGGAATAACACGTTTATAATAATTCATATACCTATGGTTATTTTGAACGATCGATAATATCAATTAAAAACAATAATGTTGCAATAATTACATTACAGATTTTTAAGTGTAATTTTCTTAATCCAAACATGTTTATAAGTATTTTAACGTTGTTGCATATTCTTTATTATTTACTGTGAACATAATATTATAATGTATTATTCTTCGTACCTATTATCTGTAAAAAAAAAAACCCGATTAAATGCTAAACCGTTTTTGCTTGTTGTACATAATCCATAATGTTATTAACAATATATTATAATATATTATTGGCATAGCCCAGTAGAATATTATTTAAAGACTATACCTATATTAATATTATGGCTGTATACCTATCTGTAAAACCTGCCTACATCGATAAACTGTGTGTTTTAAATCACTTACATATAATTATTGTAAATATTTTAATCTATACATAATATATAATATTATACTCGAGTATCTTATATTATGGTAAACGAAACGAAACGATATTGATAAAATACTCATTGTACTTTTCTTTTTCTTTTTTCTTTTTCCTCTACATGTTAAATTGCATCGATTTCCTAGCATATTAGAGGCTATACCTAATATATGTAAAACGAAGATCTCATATCCGAAATCACTTTTTTCTGTTCATTATGTTTAAGTATTTTTCCCTTGTAATAATTACTAGAGCCTTGTGCTATACTTTCTCAATTGCACATTTTTGTTAATTTTTAAAAACTACAACTAAAAAGTAAAACTAAAAAATAAAACTAAAAAAAAGAACTGTTTTTACATAAACCAAGTATCCATTTTACACATTTCTTTCGAAACATGATGTCGGTGTGACAAATATTTAACAACGATACATCGTTTATTTTATTCAATTTTTTGAAGCTGACCATTGTTTAAATTGTTTTTATTTCCGCTAATAAATAATATTGATTCACAAATTTTTCCATGATGAAAAATAATATTAATAATCTTATAATTGTAGAAACTTAATGATTCATCATGAATTAATATATAAATATTTGTGACACCAAAAATTAATTTCAAAATATATTTATAAAATGCCTGTCTTTGAAAAAACAATTTTTAAAAAATGTAAATTATTCAGTTTTAGTTTTAAAAAAAACTCAAAACTCAAAAAAAAGCATATCAAATAAACAAAAGTTATTCAATTTCAGGTATCAGATCTTCGTGTTACAGCCTGCGTATATATTTATAATAATTATCTAGCTCAGTAGCGTACCCAGCAATGTTTAACAGAAGAGAATTTAGAAAATGATAATTATGAACATTTCGTTAGTCTTCTTCTCTGCCCAATTTCATTTTATGGGAATTTAAAAGTTTCATCGAAAAATGCAAATTTTTCTCATAACTTGGCTGGTTAAAAATACATACATTTCAAGAATTAATTTTGAGTAAATACTCATAAGATGGGTGGGCATAGTTGTTGAATTTTAAAGCCAATGAGGGGAGGAGATACTGAACTAAACTAAAACCAAAAAAATCTATCCTATAATAACATCAAATTTCCATTTGTTATGATTTTGCATACCTATTTCTTTCCTTTATGTAAAACCATTTAAATATGTTTCACAAATAATAATATTATCATATTTTAAGTTATTATAATATTATTTATTGTTTACTTATTTGTACTTATAATACAATAACAGTTTGCAGAGAATGTACTTAATACTTATAGGTACATAAATTTGATCCTGTTTTATTTTGTCCATGTTAACGAAACGGGATTAAATATTATAATATCGATGAACAAACATATTATATACTATACATAATAATATATAATATAAGTACGATATTAAAGGCATCAATATTCCTAATCGTAATAATATGTCGTGTGTACACTAACACAGAGATAAGATTCGTAAACATTGGGTGTGTATGCCCTGAACGCTTGTCTACATTTCTATAATAGTTTTTTTTTTTCGAGTAAATGAAATATTGTAATTTTTAACAGTGTGCGGTTGAAAAAAATATAGGTATAACTTATATTTACCGTACCTAGGTATCATAACATAAAACAAAAATAAATTATTATGAAAAATACAACTTGGTTACATTGAATGTGTTTAGGTACTTTATAGGCATAGAAACCGCACTTAGAGCACTGCATTTTATATTGCACCCGTTCAAAACAACAAATTTTGATAATGAGGTAAAAAAAAAAAAAATAGAATGCTATTGCCTGTTATTAAATTTATGTACATTTTACACAATTACACAATTTTTTTTAAATATAATGAAAATATTAATGGTAATACGACGTACTACAGTCATATTTGGAGCATATAAAATATATATTTTAGTGATGGGCAAAAAAAAATCGTGTCTTGTGACGCCCTCTTGATATGTGACACCCGTAGCAATAGCCCTCGTTGCGTCTACAAATACGTCTACAAATATAGGTACATCTATATACTACATCTACCTCTAAAATTTTTTTCCTAACGATCCTTGAGTAAGTATACTTTTAAAAACTTGTCACGGTCCAAGAACATCACTAGGACGGTGTGAATAATCCCTTAATAACTTTCTAATCCTCGATGTGACAGGGCATCCTGTGTAAAAAATAATGTGCTATACCGCTGCGGGAATTATTGTAAAGAAAATAACTACTCGTGACAAAGGTATACATTAGGTTATATCCCTAGGATCGCGTGAAAACTTTTTTTAAATGTTTTTATTAGTCTAAGCAGATTATAATATTATATACATTATAATATATATATATATATGTAGGTAATACAATAATGACCGGTAAGCCAATGAAAGCCCAAGCAAATGGTATTTAAAGGATAATTTAGTTTATATTATACTTACTGAATGCGCATTATGGAACTTGCCAATAACGTAAAACGATACTGATTGTCGAGGAGCTAAGTTAAACAATTTTTTAATACATTTAAATACAATTTATTAATTATTTTAACTACAAAAATTTACAATTGTATGTGTTTTTTAACGAATTTTATCACAAATTGGAATTTAAAAACGTTTTAAAAAAAAACTACGACATTATTGATTAACTTTTTTTTTTGACACAAAGTATAATATCTGAAGTATTTGAAACATTCATTAAAACAATAAAAGCGTTCACATTCATTGAAAAAATGAACGCATTTATTAGGTTGTTTAGTTCCAAGTATTGATAATAAAATGTGACACCATTAAATCTGATGACATTTATTATCAAGTGTTAAAATGGCCCTGGTCGTAATAGTAATAAATTGTAAATTGATTATTGAAACATATTTAGAGAAATGGTCATGTGAATTATTGACAATATTGATAGATATGACTTACGTAATTTCAGTCATTATTAATTAATATACTGCGAAGTATCTACAGAGTCGGAGATAGGGGATGCTTGGGTGGGATGTGACACGTCCTCAAACTCGATAATTATACTTGAGAGTCGGCAATTTAACGAATTTGTAAGTGTACCTCCCTCCTCCCCAACAATAATTACTAGCGACGAATAGTACCTACAACTTGTAAGTTATTACGAACTTTGTATACAATTTAAACCAATACTAACAAATAAATAAATTACCTAAGTTCCATAAATCAACTCTTGAACCATTTTAAAACTACACTCGTGGATTTGTTAATATCCCCCGCACAGCGACTACCGTCTACCGATACAGCAATTAGATAAAGTAACAAACAAAGAAATAAGAGTTACGTATTTAAAAAATACAAAGGCAAAATTATTTAAAAACCATAGATGGAGGAAAGGGATATGGCCCATATCATATGGGTATGTCAGTGTTTGCGTGATCGAAATGTATACAAATTAGTAGGAAACTTAGTTAATATAATTTTTTCATTTGTATAAAAAAACCATGAAAATTAGTAAAAAAAAAAAAGAAAAAATACTTTAAAATTTCATATTTAAATCCGTTGTGACACCTCATACACTTCTATAGTACTCGACTAGATTTAATGACACACTACAAAAATAAGCAAATGCTATAACAGGTGATCCGTTTAAGTCGGTACACTCACTATCTCGAAAAGTATTAACTTTTTTCGGATTTGTTTTCTAGAAGATCTATCTTTAAGTACAAACAGCTCTACAATTTTATATTTATGTTAATTTTTGTCACCCTTATTTTTGGGAGTAAAACCACCACCTACTTTTGATATTCAAATGGCAATTTAGTAGAGTATCATTTATGTGGGCATGTGGCGGCACGGTTTACGGTGCGTTATACAATGCACCACTACACCCCTCCAATCCAAACTTAAAAGTGGAATATATCGATATATGGTCAATGGGTTAACGGAAATCAAAAATGACAATACTCAAATTTATTTTAACTAATACTACATCTACTTATAAACGTTTCAATATAAATTTGCCTTTAAAAATCAAAAGTAGATAGTGGTTTTACCCACAAAAATAAGGGTGAAAAAAAAAATTAATAAAAAAATTTTAAAGCAGCTTGTTTCTTAAATGTTTTAGAAAACTAAATCCGGAAAAAGTTAATACTTTTCGAGATAATTTAAATGGATCATCTGGTAAGTCTTACATCCTGATTGTAAGTATTTGCTGAATTGCAATAAAAAAAACTGTGAAGCTGCAGTCCCTCTAGAAACGATTTGTGATGCAACTGTTTCAGTAATGTTTACACGATTTAGCGTTTTCGGTAGAGATACTTTTTATAACGTTTTTCCATCGCACATATTTACTTTGTTTACATTTACTTATTCAAATATCGGAATTCATCGAGATGGAACGTGCATGAACAATTTTACTGCAGTCTGAAATTGTTTCTTTAATTAATATGAAAGTACATTTGCTTAAGAATTGTTTATGGGTCCATAGTATCCATAATAATCATAGATTATCTGAAGGAGAATTCTATACTCTTTTAACTACCTAGTTAAGAAATAATCCTGACAAATTCTTTGAGTACTGTTGTATGAGAGAAATACCTGTTTTTAATTTAAAAATTCATATTTTGGTTATATTGAAGGGTTCAAAATCAGGGTATGCCAGGCCTATCCGTTAGAAAGGTCTATGCTTTTAGGAGCGATTAAATCATATCGTGTGACCGTTGAAACCTGTGTAATAGGTAGGTTTATATATACCAATTTAATATTTCTTTAAATATCTTGTAAAATCAAATAAAAATTGAAAGTAGGCACTATTCTAACTTAACTTATTAACTCATATACCTTCAACATTTAAATCGCTTGAAATAGTTGTTAACCAGAATCTTTGAATCCTAGTTCTAATTGTGTGGTGTTTGAGTCTCGGGTTCCATATAGGTCCCTGGAGGAACACAACGGATGCGATCTGTTATGACTTGTAATGTTTATTATTATCGGACGAAAACGTCGCAGCGCGTGCGTTATTTATTCTATTATATTACGCGTTTAATATAAGTACTGAAAACAAATTTCTCTCTGGTTTGCCCCAGGAAAACGACGTAATCTGATAATCGTGCTGCTAAAAAAGCAAAATACGCGCAATATAAGTAACAGTGTAGTATCATTAACCTTGTAAAACGCTTACGCGAGATTACAGTCCTCTTGCCGGAGAGACGGTAAATTACCTACACTTTAATTACGGAAATATGTTGATAACGGCATAATATTTTACGGCGTACATCAAACGGGCTAGACAGTACTCGGAGAGAATATATTTTTTTTTTTTTATGTTAACACTTTCTACTAAAAAGCTTACTCAGATAAATATGATGTAAACCCTTTTCTGAAAGGAAATTGTTTTGGGGTGATACTTTAAGCAGGTTATTTTTCGATTTTCTAAGTGTTTTCTCATAAAATGTGAAAAACTGAAGAAAAAACATTGGAAATCGGGAAAAACGTAAGAAAAACCGGAAAATCAGTACAATATTAAACAAATATTATTAAAAAAAATATATGATACCTAATTAATTATTATACCATAATATGAAATATACATTGTTGACAATGCATCAATATCAACTGAACTTCGCTCATAATCGTTTTTAGTAAGCAATGGTTTATCATTGCTTACATATAGAAATTATTTTCCCATTTATATCCTACCTTCCTGAATTCTCGCCAACAACAACTGTGGCTGCACCTGTTCCCATTATCTTAGCTTTTTGTTTTGTTTCTTCATGATCCGCATTTTTGTAATTGAAACAATCAGAAAAGTAAACTTTTTTTTCGAAAATCAGTTTTTGGTATTTTGGAATACAATTTTTTTCATCTTTCAATTGTTTTTAAGGGCAATAATACAAACACGATTAATATAATATATGGACTTATCTGAATTAACATTGTATGCACTATAACCAGGTAAGTACGGACTAATTTTGTTCTGAATAATTTTAAAAAAGTGGACTTGTCTCAGTTGTTTGGTTATTGTACGGAGCAAATCAAAATCACGACAATTCATGTTTAAACAAATTCCTCACAGAATCGTATTTCGTTAGCAATGATTTATCGTTGGATATGGATAAAAATTGTTTAGATCTATATATCCTACTATTCACACAACTTTTTTTTTTGAAATAATTTCTATTTTAACAGTATTCAAAATGTTGCAAATCAAAAGTACGTATACGCTGCCTCCGTCTCGATATATTCTTATATCCGAGTCCGTGGCACGTCTACATCACTGCCGCTGACGACGAGCGACGACTTCAAATGAGCACCGAAATTCAATGGGCGTAGAGCCGTGTGACGATAATAATATTATATTATTAACGATCGGGGCTTATACCCCGGCGGCTTGTATAATATTAATATTATAAAAGCACGTCGTCGTCGGAAGCTGCCGACGCGCAGAACACCGAGCCGTCTCATCGTTCTCCTTTTAAAATACCGACGACGACAACGTATTTCTCATAATAAAATATATTACCTATTATAATAATCACGACGACGACGAGACGTCAGCGGTCCGTTCGCGCAAATTCATATTTACGAGCACTGAATGTGGACAAGAATATAATATAAAATATAGTGTTCCGCATTATATGACGTGTTTAGGAGCGTCGCGGAAGAAGATTTCAGTTAGAAACCTAAATATATATATATATATACACACGTTTTATATAATATACCTACTATATTACATTGGACAAGGATGGATCCACGGCGAAGGCACTGAGAGCATGTGCCACGACCGTTACTAGAACGAAAAAGTACTTTATTAACTATGATTTCATAAGTATTAATGTACCGGTTTATGTATAGTATTATCAATGTTTGATGTCAAGATTAGATTGAAATATATCATAAACTAATTATGAAAGCAAATCCGCGTGACTGTGCACAAAATATGCGTTATTACGTTTAATCCGATAATAAGTGCATCCATAATCGAATCGTACACTAGTTGAACAAAAACTCACACATTTCGAAAAAAAAAAAAAAGTGAAAGACGATAAGTGTCCAGATCGTAAATATGTGCTGAATCTGTCCTCGATACATCGGCTTCACCAAAACGGTAATTCTCGGTGGACGAGTACAATGCCAGAGTCTACTCTTTACGTACAATTGTACAATTTATGTTCTATTATAATTAAAGATAGACGATACAAACAGTTTAGAATTCTATGCTCGATTCTCGATGTCTTTGTTTTAAAATAAAAATAAAATACGAATATTAATATCATAAAACACTATTTAGAATTTAGATATAAAAATACTTGTTATAAACTTCTTTATTTTATCTAATCCATTTAACCATGATGACGTGATTATGACGTTATCATTTATCATATTAAGATAATAAAATATTGAATTTGAAACCAAAAATTACCTCAATTTTGATATTTAATATTGTTTTATATAACGAAGGTATTGAATATTCGATACCTATTAAGGTATCGAATCATTCATCCTTATACTTGTAGTATACATTTTACCATGTCTTTTATTTTTATATACAATATATTATATAGTTATTAAACAGTTCTGTCCTCACCTCTATTCGTTTATATTTATAAATTCGATCGTTTTTCGGCCCATCGACTTATATTTATATATTATATCATATCTATTTAATACTATGTTCGAAAATTGCTACACCAGTAGCGCATAGCGATAGGTAGTGTAATAATATAAAAGTAATGCGACATTTTGGTTTCACCGCTAGATGGTACTATAGGAGAATGAATATTATAACAGAACGCTGTTTTCAATACATAATTTTTTTCTAATAGTATTTGAAGATTTTCCACATTCTAGTTATTCTTAAATGTACGACATTTTAATATTTTAAACGGACAACTGTGATATATAAAATATGTTTCTGGATAATATGAAAACTCAAGAATAACTTAATTGAAAATAATAAAAAAATGTAAGTTGATTTCAAGATAATGTAGAAGCAGATTAGTTTAATTAAATGTTAAGTTAATTAGTTGAAATTTACTTTACTTTTAACTTATTAACTCGTTAATACCCAACCTTGAATAATCGTATTATTTTAAGAATACAATATTTTGCTGCAATTTTGGTACAAAACCGATGAATATCAATGTTGTTTTCCGTAGATAACAATATTATTGAAGAATTTATATCTGTGTTTGAAAACATCTATAAAATATAGACAAACAATATTAAATACATAGGCTAGTGTGAAAATCCTATTAACTCGACAGGGGCGAGACCTAGGCAATTACAGAAACGTTCATGTTGGCATATTATTACGTAACTACACTGCGCCGTACGATGTCAGTTATAATTTAATGTTTGTAACAAGTAGGGGTTGGTCGGTTCCTGAAAAACATCGGTACCAGTTCTTGTCCGGTTCAAAAAATCTTCTTTTGGTTCGTCGATTTCCAATAAGAACCGATAGAATAGAAATAAATAAACCTGCTCATCGCTAGTAACAACATACACAACATATACAAGGTATTTTTTCAGCATTTTCTAGAATATTGGCAACATTTTTAAAACCCTTTAGTTAGCTATTTATAACCATTTATATAAAAACCATAAAAATCGCGGCATTTCATGTTTATCATGGATATTACTCAAAATCATTTTTGGTTGATGATATATTATACAAATTCAATTAGAACATATATTTTTATGTTATTTTAATATTTTAAATCCACTTTAAAAACTGGCATCTCCATCAGAAGTATACGTTTTTTTTTGCTCCGTTTTAATTATTAGATTCTAAATATTTTGTTTTTTCATTTATTTATATACAATTTTATGCCATATAAAATGTCATCTATATAAATATGGTATTTTTCAAAAAAAAAAAAAACGTTTTAGATTCAGAGCGTATCGAGAAATCTTTTGGTTTTACTACGATGTGTATTTTTTTTTATTATTTTGTCTGTAAATAACTTTGATACCAACAGTTTTGCCCCAACGTAAAGAGTATAGTACATTTTCTAAAAGAAAATTTATTCAAATTGGTGCATTTAAGTGGTAATTTTTTGATTTTCCAATGGGTTTTCAAAATAATTGGAATAACCCCGAAAGAAAATTATAGGTGAAATGTCAAATATTTACGACGCGCCACGGCGTTAGTGTTTTCAACTTTTGTTCACGATTACCAGAAATATTGCTCCGATTGAAAAATAACAAGATATCGATTTTGTTCCTTTTAATATATAGCTGTTGATAAATAAAGTCGTTTTATTTTATACCTCAAGTGTTTTTCATTATAATTAGGAAAAACCAAAACAGAAGAAAAATATTATTTTTTTTTTCAAATAGCAACGCAACGACTTCATTATTTCAAATTTGTACGACCAATTTTTTCCGCCATAAATATACTCTAATATAAATAAATGACACCTGACCTTTTTTTATTGCATTTTTAATCTAGTTTGTGAGTAATTAATTTGTTTTTTGATTTTCCTGGTAGTTTTAGATTCTGAATATAGTGGAGAAAGTTTATGGTTTTACACAGATGTTCATTTTTTTTTTCTGTGAACAACTTCTAAAAGAAAAATTTCACTGAAGAGATACTTTAGAAAGATAATTTTTCAATTTTCCAAAGAGTTTTCTCATCAAATGCGAAAAACCAAAGAAAACGAAGGAAAAACGGAAAAATGTACGAAATTTTTTTATGTAATATTTTTTTCCTGTGGACAACTTTTCTACCAGCAATTTTGATCCGACTTTTAATGATAGCAATTTTTCTAAAAGAAAATTTTGTTGGGGAGGTACTAAGAAAGGTAGAAAGGAGGTTATTCGATTTAATCAAGAGTTCTCTCAGCAAATGTGAAAAAATGGGAAAAAAACATGGAAATGCAAGGAAAAACGTAAGAAAACCGGGAAAATCGGTACAACATTAAACAAATATTATAAAAGAATATATAGAGCTTATTTAATTATTTACTATAATATAGCATATATATGTTGTTGATGTTTAGAAAATAGGCGTCAAAACAATTAATATTCAATAGAAGGTAAATAATTACCATGTTGATTGCAATTGCTTATCGTATAACGTGTTATTTTATTGAATAATAATTGTTTTTATACCTAATTAAAACGGCTATAACTAAGAAATTATTCATTGGATATGAATTGATACATTAAAAATGTTTAAATAATATTTTTGACAAAATGGTTTTTTGAAAATGTTCTCAGCTAAATATAAATGTTATTTTTTTTTTTGTCTTTAGGAGATGAAAATAAAAATTAATTTTTCTTCAAATCAATCTTCTCCTCAAAAACAAACCGATTGAAAAAAAAATCGAAAAAATTTTAATATTAAGAATGCTAGAAAAATCCGTCGAACATGGTGGGACATACTGTATACATAAAGTTTTTCATATTGGTTTAGTTTTTGGATGTTTTTAGATTCTGAGTGAAGTGATGAATTCAATGGTTTTACAATGACCTTTCTGTGAATACATGGTCTACTAGAAATTTTGTTCTGATATTCAAGTTAAGCATTTTTTTCTGAAAGGAAATCTGACTGGAGTGACACTTTGATAGGTAATATTTTGATTTTCTCAGAGGTTTTTATAATAAATGGGAAAAAAATGTCAGAAAAACAGGAAAATGCACGAAATATATTATTTTTAAATCGTAAATATTACAATCTTTTAAAACATGTATAGTAGAACTCCGCTCAGAATCGCTTTTCGTTAGCATTGATTAATTGTTGCGTACAGATAAACGTTAAATTTTCCCTCTACCTTCCCAAATTCTAACCTAACCAAACAATGGCTCAACTATCGTGAGAAGTATGCCCGTTTGTTTTTAAATATTATATCTCTTTTACTGCCATCTGTGTGCCAATTTTACAATTTCAAACCTCTAAGTGTTATAAAGATTTAGTCATTTGCTGTTTTTAATAGTTGAGAATTTAGAGCAATATTTAAAATAATGACCAGGACAGACCAAAATCGTCGTTTTTTTTTTTTATGAAATTCGTGCAGTATGAAAAGTTAGGTAAACATTGCTGAACCTTGGTCGAATGTGCACCTGACATCGTGACCAGTTTACGCGGTGAAAAAAAAAAATAAATTCCAAAGTTTTGGATTGTAAAATATGTTGTGGTGTTATGGAAAAATTTTCGAAGTATATATTTCTGTCTAGTAAATTTAACAGGTTTTTCTCCTTGCCGGATTTCCAATAAAACGAACGCATAGTATATTGTGCAGCACGTCGATCGATAGGAAATTGAACTGGGTTGTTCCAGTTTTCACGTCGGTATACATTGTTTTCCCGAGAGAATAATGAACGTATCTAATATATATAACCAGAACGATGTCGGATAAACTTGCGGGAGCACATCCGTTTTTGAGAAAATCGATTTTCGTTGTTATTCGAAAAATTGCTATCCTACATAATATAGACGTTTGAAATGTTTGACAGTTTTCGTTAGTTTGGGAATAATTTTGTGTACGAAATTTACGAGTAAAAATCTCGAACACTATATTAAGAATCTCGAAAGCAATCATAATTTGTTTAAGTTAATATTTCTATTTTTCTGCCCAAAATATCGTCAAATTTCATTCTGCCGATCATAAATAATTTTAGATAGTGTAATTTTTTAGATTCTGAGTGTAGCCAATGAATATATTGTTTTTACAATGATGTTTATTATTTTTTTTTTTATATACTGTGTTGAACATTTCTACCAGAAATCATGCTTAGATATTACATATCTATGTGGCACATTTTCTTAAAGGTACTAGCATAGAAGTTAATATTATATCACATTGGTTCCCATAAATGATAAGCTGATGGTAAGTTATTATTCATTTTTGTTATAGTTTATAAAAATTAGATTTTTGCCGTTATACATTTTCCATGAATAGGTTAACCATGAACAATATGCTCATGCAAAATATAGGAAACAATTTTAGTAAAGATGAAAGGAAAATTGTATTGTACCTTTAATTATGCTTTACAAAAATACTGTTTTAATAATTATTATTTCTAAAATGGTTTCTTCATAAGACGTACGTATCTGTCTAATGTATCTGGCCAAGACCATTCTAATGAATTATTTATTGTTGTTTATCGCTTGGTAAGTAAAAAAATAACATCCCTAAGATACCAATCAAATAAAATTGCCGTTTAGAAAAGGCACTACACTTGAAAATCGGAGTAAGATTTTTGGTTGAAACATTTTTTTACATTCCTAGTCTCTATTAAGTGTACCTAGTTAGTTCATGATAAAAAATCGTCCTATACTTATCCTTGTTGGATATCATATTGTTATCATATATGCATTACTACATATAATGTATACGATCATGAACCCGCGAATTTACTAATGAAAAAAAAGTAATGATAATAATAAATAAATATTATTTAACATGTTAAAACGAGAATCTTTATATTACATATTATACATTATGTGAATTCCTGGTTATTTTACCCGTATATTATATAATCACGAAAAAAAAAAAAAAAAAATGATCCTATTAAAAAAAAAATTACAATCGTAAAATTAATTTAATATTACAATAAAACAATATATTTTAATAAATACTGGCATTACATCACTCGCGTTGTACTATGCGAGTACGTCGAGTCCGATTATTTTAAATCAAACAAATCTGTTTGATTTGTTAATTATTATGTGATGCAAGTATATAGGTATATTATAAATATGAAAATTACGAAAATTCTTTAATTGCGAATATATATTATCATTATCAGTATATTAGTCACTACTATAATATACCATGAGCAATATTCCAATACATTACAGCGAACATCGATAACAAATTAATCGGTATTTATAATTGTATATCGTGCCAACTGTAGTGCGAATAAATAATGTTTTTCTTTTCTTTTTTTTTTTTTTTTGCCAACATTTGCCTTTCAGCCTAATAAATTAAATCCTCTTATCACTCAGTACTACTGATGTCTGTCTCTATTTCATACGACCACACTTAATCCTAATTGTTTCACATTCTTCTTATTTCCTCCGGTTTCGTTTTTTAGGAAGACTAAAATTTAAACACTTAAATTTCCTTCTAGTTATATGTCCTCTACATTCATATAATCTTACCATGTATGAGCGAATAAATAATAATATACAGTTAATATGGTAGTTATAGGTATCGATTTACAAAATATATACCTGAAGGGTACAGGGGAAAACTAGAAGTTAATTTGTTTTCTAAAATGGCTCGCTTGGTGTCATAAAATTCGTATTAACGTAGTCTGGTACTGCGGTATTTTATAAGCAGTCGACCCACGCATAAAGTCTGATTGACCGGGACAGTTAGTAATGCGCTGCCAGAAGTTTAGCGTACAGGAAAAAACAATTAAAGCTGAAATAAAAACCATGTATTTCTGAGATTAAAAAAAAAAATGTGACTTTTCTAGTTTTATCCTTGTACCCTTCATTTACGATTTTTTTTCCCTTTCGGCGTAACAAAAGAGGAAAATACGGTGATGGTTCGGGTTTTTAGACGACTAAAATGCCAGTCGCTTTGTGTTTGAAATAAATGGTTGACTCGTAAAAAAAAATAAAAATAAAAACAGCGGAAGTTCAGTTGGTGCCGACAAGCATACCCCGGTTGGCGGCGTTCACCGAGTAATAAAAGAAAAAGAATGTTAAGAACATAGTGAACGCCATAGGAAACATGAAACGGGCTATCGTGTCGATCATCTCAGCTAGGTGAATTTGATTGGGTGACTTCATGTTTTTTTCGATCTGAAAAAAAAATTATAATATATGAATAAATTAGGAACTCCGTATGTTCGTTATGAACAATGTCCGGGATACTTTTTCAGCTTGACATGGATTTTATCAGTGTCATAGAAATGTATGTTATACTGAGCAACGATTTCAAATATGCAATTTAAAATTGATTATTTTGATGGTTGTGATTATTTTTGATGTTTAGTTGTACAAAAACTTGATTACTGTGATAGAAATTCATTGAATAATAATTTGGATGACTTTGCATAGGCATCATATGAGACTTTTATTAAATTTACAAAATTTTAACTAAAGATGCTAATGTAATAATGAATTCTTTCAATTGAAACGTTAAAATTGGTTAAAATTTTGATTAAATTTAAACTAAAAACTATTTGATCGATTTAAAATATTAAATTAGGATTGATTTAGTTATCCGGATCGATTGATTCAATCCGGTTTGAATGTATTATTTGTTTAATCAAATCCGATTAAAATTGTATGTTCAACACTACGGCAGCGGTCACCGGTATATATTAATTCAATTGTCTGTATTTTACTTCAGCTCAGACACTGCACAAGGACCGCATCCTAGTTTTCTAATGCATAAATGTTAGGTACCGTTTCATTATTGAAAATAATAGACGAAGACGCCGAGTTCCAATCAAACCGACTGTAATAATTGCAGGAGTTTTCCGCTCCGTTACTCCGTCGATTATTGGCGATGTGCTCGTATATTATACACATTAATAAAAACCGATAGAAATAACGTCATAATTTACCGCACTCGCACAGTACCTACGGTCTCTACGTTATTATATTTTCGTATTGTTACGCGTCTCTGTTGTGTATTTCCTAACAAAAATAAAACCAAACGATTTCGGCAAGGGTTATTGCGGACCATGTAGTTTTTGTCTTCATCGCGCACAAACGCGACTTTGGTGTACCCGCACCACTAAGTGTATCATAGTTTATTTCAGCTACCTATACATATCAGCTGTTAGTTTTATCGATCAATATAGTACGATCGCTCGTTTTTCGCGATTAATATCGTAATAAACCGGCGTATTTGTTCACTATAGTGGTTAGGTATACTATCATTAGAATTAGTCATTTTTATTTCCTGGTTTACCAACGTATAATATTTTGGAAACAATGGAGATCACGACTCCCGTGGATAATCATTTTCCGTTGTAATATCTCATCGTCTATTTAATTTTTATTTCCTACATTAAAATACGTTTTAACATATAGATCAATAGATCTTAAAAATTAATGGCAGCAGTGCTGAATCCAGACCTTGATTTGGAGGAAGTGGGCAAAGCCTTTTACAACACTTAGTATGCATATGTTAGCACAATACAAAACAAAAAAAAAAAATATAATTATACTATGGTATTTAGAAGGGGAGGGGGGAATTAGGAGCATTTGCTTGTGAGTAATAATATTAAATTGATTTAAACATAATAACTATAGTTTTTCAAATATCAAATATGCTCAAATATTGAAAACGTAAATTCGTTATAGGTTTTTAGTGATTAATTATTACGAGTCGTGTACTAAATATGGATCATAAAATTTAAAACGCTTTTACTATAAAACGAAATAAACGATGCATTTCGATTGCAAATGCTTAAATATACTCGTGGAATTTACAAACAGTTCCATATCTGTCAAAATGCGAAAGAAAATGGATTTTTATAAGCCGCCCAAACACATTACAAATTGTAATTTATAATATTTTAAAATCACTCGCCAAAACACATTGTAAACAGTTGCCAAATACAATGCAATTTTTACTAACTCGCCAAAACATAAACCGCCTAATATATTCTTCTACGTAAATTCAATGAAATTTATTTTTAGAGTATGTTCCTACTATCAGTAGTACAGGATAGTATTTTATGTAATTTACATAATCTTGATTTCTGAAAAAATTCTAAATACCAAACCACGGAGTTATAGTTTCCTTAATAATCTGAAATTTTATATTTATTTTGAATTTTTATAATTTATTACTTTGCCTGTCAAAACAATTCTTAAAATATTAATTAGTAATAAACCGTTTAATGATTTCGAATTTTTCGATATTATCATTAATTAATTTACATTGATATATCTACCTTGACTTCAAATAAAATGAGTACATATATAAAATAAACTTACCACATTTTGAGGAACGTTCAAGAGTAGCGAATGTGAACATACGTTTTGGGTACATTTGGTACATTTTAATTCTTTGGGTATTTTCTAAAACAAAAATATAGGAAATTAAATTTATTTGTAAGTTTTATCAATAAAATTAAATAATTAACCATACAACCAGACATAAATTATTATAAAAAAAAAAAATATTTTGCTCATTTGTATAGCCATCATATTTATAAATTATATTGTACTTAAAAACAACATTTAGATTATACCATTATTTTGATTTGAAATCAACAAAATAAAATACGAAAGGGACGTAAATAATTGGTCTTTGGTATTTTTTTTTTTTTTTTAGTTCACTCGGAATCTATAATACCGTCAACTGAGTTAGTAATTACGAATATGTATTTATAATGTTGGAACAACTTTGCGGTATCTTGTTAGTTGTGATAATAATAATATAATCTATTTGTTAGGTTAGGTAAACAAAACTAAAGTATTAAAGTTGTATGATGAGCACGTCTTAAACAGTATTAATAATATTATCAAGTCACGTATTCGTGTTAACTTTGAGTATCCGTGGATCAAACGTTGTATATAGATTATAATGTGCTTTATATAATGTATACATTGAATAATAACCACATGCGTGTGCAGATATAGGAGTAACTGAGGAGAAGGAAGAATGGGACGAGATTGTCAATTTTAAAATAAATGCTTTTCAAACGTTTTCCGAACGAGTTCGTATAAAAATTGTATAAGCATATTTGTGAAAATCGTGAAGATTAGGCATTCTAAATTTGTTGAAATTGACAAAGGTTTTTTTTTTTTTTTTCAATAATCAGTTAATCGCCAATAGGTTAGGTGATCAATAATAGGTTGCTTTCGACGAGACCTTGTTTCTGTATAGTAAAATTGAATTGGAATTGGATTAAATTTGGTCGTATATTTGAACGGTCCATTCTATTATATTTAATGCAACGGTAAAACTTCGAGGGACCGGAAAAATAAAATACTTCAAAAAAAGCGTTCGAAATACGCTTATACACTATACGATATTGATTATAGCGTTGGATTGAAATAAAACTGTTAGCAATATAATAAAATATATAATGAAAAGTATTTTGAAGGGTATTTCTGCGAATACTTTTATTTGGATACTACCCAATATCCGGACGAAAACTAAAGGAGTCCGGTGTAAATGTTTCGTTTCGTCCACCACGCGTCGAACAAATTTTAAGTCGAACTTTTTTATTATTTTTTTTTTTTATCGAATTATCAGATTATTTGGCCCGTGTGTTTCGAATGTGGACACAATCCAGTACTCGTTTGTTCTTTTCTATTTTCTGCTAGTGATACTGGTCAAATAAAAATAAAACGTAAACACTATCGGAGGTGCTTGATTAATACCTCGAGCCAATAAAAATACCAACATAATTAGTGGTTCGAAATTGACGGGAATGAAATAGATGTAACTAAACCAATCAAAACGGATTTTATACAGATTCAGGTTATATCAGACAAAACGGTTCAAGTTTTTTTTTTTTAAATTTTTATTTCATTTACCGTTTCGAAATCAAGAAATATATTGAGCAATCGAATTTTATATTATTGTACACGGTCAAGCCATTCTCCTTGATGCCACCGTTGAGCGTAACAATAATGTAAGCGGTTTCGTTTGCAAATAAAAATGTCCCGGAATTTTATTAGTTCGATCGTCGTCGCTCGTGGGGATCGGAGTTAAAATAGGGTGTGGCCCGCAGAACCCGGCTCGGTCTTAAGTATTTTAAGTATATGCCAATTGCGTGACCTCGATAAGAAAAATAAAAAGACTAAGGACTATAGGTTATTTTTTTTATTTTTAAATAATAATTTAAGACGGCTATTTGTGCGTAATACGATCGCGTGTCTGTCGTATACGGACGTACATAGTGGGAATGGGGTATAACGATTTCGGAAGGTATAGTATCAAATTGCCCAATCGTTTCTCGATTTTCACAAACGCACATTGGGTTTTCGTTCGGAAAATATCTAAATCCGCACGCCAAAGTTGCATAATATTATTAAATTTACTGCGTGCATGACATGTATTATATTATGTACCTATATCGATATAACGTATCATATGTACCACTGTCTAATAATATATTCATTGGTGGACGGCATACGGGTTTGTAACATCAAGCTCGTGAAATACGCATTTTTTTCTACGCAACGATATTATGTTGTTATGGGTAAGCGCAATAAATCATCCAAAAAGAAAGAAAGTTTAAAAGAAAAACCAGACGGGACAAATATGAAATTAAAAGTGGAAAATCGTAGTATTTGCAGGTTTACCGCACAATGTGGTATTATCTGGTGGGGGGGTGGGCGTTTTTGAGGGTTCAAACCCCTCCCGGAATTTGTTAAACAGTGTTGTTTATTATTTTCAAGAAAAATGCTAATGCTAATAATATTATTATGTTCGTAACAAAAATAATGATTTAATTTAACATCACCTAAACCTCCCTCCCCCTCTCCGAAAATTTGGCCCGGATAGTCTAGATATTTAAAAAAGTCTGAAATCCATGTTTGAGACTGTCAGGAATTTACACGAATAATTTTTTCAAAGTAAACAGTATGAAGTGCTTTATTTTAAAGAACGATGAGAAAATTTTAGAGGATTTCGACTAAGAGAAAATATAAATTTAAAATAAATATTTCAAAGATTAGTAAATTATTTAGAACGGCGACGTTTACCGACTCGATCAAAACACTCATGATCGCCGACGGGAACGACCTCGAGTGTATATCTGAACTCTAAATTGAAATCGAACGCCTCTCGGGAATCAAAAGTTACTCTCTCCTTTGAATTTCAAACGGGTAAAATCAATTAAATTCACGATATATTGCAATGCATTTGGTCCAAAATAATAAATGTTCATTATTAAATAAAATATATAAATAATTTGTACTCACTGAATAATTTTTTTTTTTTTAAACGAACTCGTTAAATCACATTAACGACTTATACCTACCTATAGTGTAATCATTTTATATCCAGAAACCGCATAGGTAGGCATGAATAAGAAATCTCAAACGAAATTGTTATCTTCAAAACTTCAACATTAAAATATTGTAGTCATTTTTAGTCGAATATGACAATTACATTATAATCGGGTACTTTATTATGTATTTAAATGTAGATACTGAAAACTCAATAAATGTTAAAAATCGAATAATAATAAGTATTAAACGATTGACGTCCGTGTACGTAAAATAATTAAATCTTAACATTTTTCTTTGTGCGCCACTGCAGTTATGCTAATGAACATCTGACATCTATTCCTATTTATAATGAAAAAGAGCAGTTATCTTAAAAATAAAATAAAAATTGTTAGACAAATTCAGCATATTAAATGTCATAATTTGAGATTTATAAGATGTATTCCTATTCAAACGTGTAAAATATTTGAGTAAAATTATTTAAATAAATATATACAAAGTTTTATGAATTTTTTGATTGGATCAATTTTTGAAGTTAAAAACCTAAAGTGTAATCTGAAAATTAAAAAAATGGAACAAAAAGTTTAGAATGTATAATAGCTGCCATTTTTTTTTTTGCCCTTCGGCTTATTTGTTTACCACTCTCCCAAAATAATCGTGATCCTTCACCTCCCCCTCAAAAAATTTTTAAACATTAGTGTTATTCAGTACTAATATAACAACAAATTTCGAAAAATCCAAAAAAAATCATTAAAACGAATTTTTCGCTTCTCCCAAAATTGCCGTCATATGCAGACTTCAGCTTCAATAACCTAGCTGACGTTAAATTTGTTACCTGACCCAGTGGTCATCTAATCATAATTAGATGATTGCCGGATTTAGGATTTGTTCAAATTTGTTCTTTTGTTGTAGTTCAGTTAGAAATATTTGTTGGGACCTGAGATTTTTACCGAACAGTTGTGTAAGCTTGTTATAGACGTAGTATAATTTCCATATCATTATGGAGATTTTAGAACTATTTATAGTAATACGAAATTTTTCAATATATTGTATAGAATAACTCCATAATAACCAATCGTCGTAGAATTAATATTAAAAAAATAAAATAAAATAAGAATAGTAAACAAAAATCAATAGAATATTGTATGAGAGCTTCGTGATATTGTTTTATCAACCGTATAATGTTTTGAATTGATTAATCAATTTTATTATTATAACCGTCATCATTTGCACGTTTATTTTTATTCGCTTGCAGGGTGTGTCCGTTCGAGGGCAATTTATGATATTTAAAACAGGCGAAAAGACGGCGCGAGTAAATTCGCACGGCACCCCGCGAGGCGGAATTTAATTAAAAACATTATCACCGCCGACCGCATCGATTTCCGTGTCTATACCTACATATCTAATAATTATTATTTATTACTTTCTGCTGTTTTATTTCGTTATTTTGTCTGTTTTTTTCTCGTCGGTTTTCGACTAGCAAAAAATGCGTGATAAGAAATACGTCCGAGCACAGAACTAAATTTCCAACGATCGATTTCGAAATGTATATTATATAGTTCCCAATAAATTCGACAATACACCAAAACACAGTTTTTTTTGTCGCGACTTTATTGTTGATTTATCAGGGTTCAAATTTTCAATGTAAAGTATATTGTTTTTATTTTAGTGTTCTAGGACAATGCATTCCAATTTTCAAGCGCGTAATTTGATTCGCGTTACCGACACATTTTAAAAGCGGCGAAACGTTCATTTTCACACTTTTTTTTATTTGGATTTTTTGTTTTAGAACATTTTTCAATTGATTTCAGAGCACTTAAATCCGGACCTTGATTATTATAAATCGACAAGGGTGTACAATTATTATTATGTTTTGTTAATATTTTTATATTATACGGATGTAAGTCATTGACGCGACGTCCCTGCCGTATATATAAACGGCTTTGAGGTCACTCGTATTTTTATTCGCGCCCACGCCTACGTCCAGTAAATGGAATAAATCCGATAACAATATTTAACACCACGCCCACTATTAAACTGTAAACGCAGTTTGCTTTCTGTTATCCAATTCGATGAAAATTATATTTATGTTACATTAATTAGTTCTATATCTGATAAATTATTACAAAATGGTATTATAGGAGCAGTAAGTATAGTGGAGGAAAATGAGAAAAACTAGATTGAAGTGAAGAAGGAGAGAAGGAGAAACTATATGAAATAGTCGAAATGATATGTGAGACAAGTGGTGTAGACGAAAGCCGGACAAGATACAGGCCAAACAGATAGTGGCTACAGAATGGTACTGATGGAAGGTATTTAGAGAGCATATAGAATAGATGGATAAATGGTATTATAATATAAGAGTAGATTAACCCAGTCACGCGGGAAAAAAGCAAGGAAGCAGCATTCCTGTGTTATTTTAAACCAAAATTGGCCCCTATGATATTTTTAACTTCCCCCCTCTCGGTAAAATTTTAATAAATATGGGATAATATTTCGCTAGTGACTATTGACCTTTATAGAATTTTACCGATGTAACGATTAAACGGTCCTCCACCAGTTAAATATCATAGGAGTCAATTACCACTGGGTACTGGCACACCGGGAGCAATCTAAGCTTTTCGGTAGGGTGGGGTACAACAGTAAATCACTTCCTCGCAGTGTACCCCAGGCAACGTTTCTGACGGGTAAAGATTTACCTCATACAGAACCCTCTAATTCCAGTTCAAGGCACTATACTGAAACGACATGATTGTATCACTCTCAACAGAATCCGAACTGGACACGGACGATGCAATGAAATGCTCCATAAATAGAACATCAGAGATAATACAACCTGCGATTGTGGTGCTCCATTACAATCCATCACATTATCATTGGCTACTTAATCCAGGGTTTCATAGGAACAATAAATGATATTCATGACGTTACAGGAAAAGAAGTAGTTTGAATCAATAATCTAGACCTACGATTATGAATTTACGACCCAACACATTTTGCTATATGTTACACTCTAGGTTTACAACTATAAACCGATTCATTATATTATGTTATATTATATATTACTTTTATCCATTTGAGATTCCGAGCGTAACGAGGGAGCTATTGGTTTTACAATGCTGTTTATTTATTTTTTTCTTTGTTCTAGTCTGTGGACACGTTTTTTATTAGTAAACTTACTCCGATTTTTACGTGTAGCAACTTTTTTGAAAGCTCAAGATTGTATTTTAAAGAGGTCATTTTTTTATTTTCAACATCATTTTTTAAATAAAAGCACTTAAGCGAGAAAAAACGTAGGAAAACTTACAATTTCACGATTTCGTTATTTTATAAAAACACGAATGACGTTTTCTACCAGAAAAAATGATTGAATCGAAAAATCACAAGATACCTTTTTTGTTGCTTATTTGATTGATTTTCTTGCGATATCATTGCTAAAACGTTTGAGCCAAATTTAAGCTTTTAAGGAATTTTAATTTTTGCTGTAATTTGGTTATTAATACACATAAAGACTTGAAACTTGGTAATAATACTTGTATTGGAATTACCTAGATGTGATAAAATTTCCAAAATGATCCGACGATTTTTTTTTATTTTAATAAGTGTTTTAAATTTAAATTTAAACGAAAATCGCAATAAAAAAAAAAAATGACAATTCAAATTATGTATTACCGAACTGCGGTCGGAATCGTCATTCGTCAAGCAATGGTTTATCGTTGCTTACAGATATAAACGAAATAATCTTATGTATTCTACCTTCCCAACTTCTCACTCACAACAGTGGCTGCTCCCATCCCCAGTATCAGCTCTTTTTTATTCATGAAACTATTTTACTATTTTATTAATTTAAATTTATTACAAGCGTTCCATTTAACAATAAACCACATGATAATAATAATAATAATTTGGTAAGGTAAGCACAGTAACGTAATATCTGATGGATTTTTTTGTTTAGCTTATTAAACTAACAAATTCAACATATTAACATAATATTTAACTTTGCAGTGATTGCTACTCAATAAAGGTGTACAATGTACATGTTTCCATGAAATAAAAAGTGATACAAAGAGAAATAATACACGGGGTACTCGGTTCGTTCACTTATACGTTTCCTTGACAATACTTATATGAGTTGCGTGGTAAAGTTGATTTTTATTTTTTAAGTTGTGCTCGATTATAATCATATGATCAAATCGTGGGTCACTACACGCGAATAATAATGATATTATATTAAAATATTATTATGGAATTCACCGGCACGCCATGTATACATAATTTAATTTTTAAACCGTGAGGTTTTAAAACACATCAATAGAATTTTTATTGTACGATTTGGTGCGATTTTTTTTCTAATGTTCACGTGACTGAGACTGATAAACATTATTTGCTGCGTGAGTATAGAGTAAAATAACAGTAGGTATATATTATTTTTTTGAATTTTCGTTTAATATAAAAGAAAAGGGGGCAACGTGAATTACGTAATCCATGTACCTACTTACCGCTCATAGAGTTTTGAATTTAAAACTCTAAATTCGAATATGTTTTAGTGGCATACGCTGTTATATGTAAGTTGTTATAATTTTTTTTTTTTTTTTTTTCAGTACAAATTAATATCAAACAATATTTCGCTGGGAAATGTTTGAACTATATTTTGTATACGTTATCGTCTGTGCTGAATGTTCTAATGCAATTAGAACCATAATCCAAGACCGAATAATCTATAAATCCGTAAACCAGAACAAAAGAAAAGCGACGTTATCATCACGATTCTGATAAAAAAATAACGTGTATATATATTTTATAGAATTATGTTTACAACACGTCGAATCGCCGTATACTAGATAAGATATCGATGATATTATTTTTTATCATTTTATATTATATGCAGCGAATACAAATTACCGTCTGTGTATATTGCTAGTGTTAGCATCTGCAGTAGCCAATCTCGAGATCTATAAAAATGTAAGAACAAACGAACGGCGTGAATAATTCACGAAACAAAACACGTTTCTATTCTGGAATATTGTGTTTTCCTAACAGCTTTTATCGTGGCTATGATATTATACGAGTATATATGCAGTATTTCTGCAGAAATACAAGTTCGTTTCGTATCACTTATTATTGACACGGTGGTGTTTGAAAAATAGACACATAAAATTAAAGTATTCGGCGAATCAATCATTTTCCACGGTCAATTTTATTTCTCGCGTTCCCCCCCCTCCCTTAAAAAAAAAATCGTTTAATACCGAGAAATTGAAAAAATAAATAATTGTGGTAAGTATGCACGAATGTAAATAATACTACATTAATATCTACAAAAAAAGATCCAAAAGAATGTACTTTTCAAGTACAATGGATAGATTCGTTAAAATTGTCTTAATAATAGGAAAAAATTGATCAAAAAAACCGTCGATGAAATGGAAGTTTTAATTTATTTATAGTTTTTGTTATATTCAATTTTATTTTTTATTATAATTTAGTAAAAAATAATCGTAGAGAATCGAAATCGTCACTGTATACTTATATTAGCATTTTTTAGACATAATACAATTTTCAAAATATTCTGGCATTTTAAAGCTGTTTATAAATATTTAAAATTATCAAGTTTTGCATGGACTTATGTATTGATACAACATTTTTGGATTCTAAAAAATACCCGACAATTTGATATGCATGGTTCATCAAAAGTTGTACTTATAGCGGGAAGAAAATAATCGAGTGTAATGTTGTTAATTTTATATTATTATTATGTTTTTAAATTAGATAAACTTTATATTTTATAATACTCAAAAAATATGATAACAATAAAACTATATGTAGGAGCACCATACTATAATAATATACTTTAATATATATTATGCATATTATACGTAGACAAATAACAACAACTGCAAAATATATGACGAAAGTGAGGTTGTTCCCATTGATAAATTTATGAGTAGAACCTTTCGAAACAGAAATAATAATATTCTATAATTTTATACTCTTGGCTCGCCATTTCGTACCTACTGTTATTATGTTTTCCTTCCGACCAATATCATTTATAATATAGTGGTGCTAGTATTACAATATAAAATACATTTTTTTTTTATCGTTGAACTGTCCCGTCGTCCGAGTTTCACACACGATTTTAATAAATTATAATCACAATAAAACAAAATATATTCCAATTATTTCGAGTGGTAAAATTCCAATAATCATAGGGTTGCCAACCGGCCGGTATTTGGCCGGCCCGGTCGGCTTTTTAGACGGCGACGGGCTGCCGGTTTTATGTCAAACTGGCCCTGTACATGATAATCAGTTTTTTTTATGTCTGACATTGTTACTAGTAGTAATACAAATAGGTAACCTACGGACATATGGCACGCGATGTGAGACTCCATGATCGGATGACCAGTATTAACATATAATAACATAAGGGCCAAAATTTAATAGAGGAGCAGAGACGTCAAACTTCTAAGTTTTAACGCATTTGTTTTTAAATGGTTTATTAATTTTTACACTTTTTGTGATAAAAAAAACATTTTACGTATGTTTTAGATTGTTGATTATATGTTGACTAAAATGAGAACAATTTATAATAATAACGAAGGTGATGAAAATGTAAAAGATGACCGTGACGTAGAAGTTGTTTATTCAATAAAGCTAAGCACATTTGCTGGTTGCCCATCTTAACAAAATAATCCTAATATTATGTATTGCATTGTATTCATTAATTAATAGGATGAAATATTAAATGGTTATTTTTACCAAAAGAAGGGATTAGGAGTATTATTTATTTTTTCTAAAGTACCTATATTTTATAAGAAAAAAACTCAAAAAACTGATTTTTTTCAAAAGCATAGTAGGCAACCCTGATTAATTACCAAGATATATTAATGTATTATATTATGGAAGTCCTATAAGACTCGTTAATTACCTAATAAATCAAATAACGGTATATTCTAATATGATTTCCTATTGTGCCATTAATACACATATAATTTTATGTGTCTCCTAAACGGGCTTAATGTAGATGGAAAATAAAATATATTTACGATTTATCAACAAACTATATAGTAATATATGGTTAATCAGTGCTCGAATTAGGAAACTTAAAGAAGAGGATCTCTGCTAAGTCATAAAAAAATAATATTCTGAGAAAAATAATAGTTCAGTTAGGGTTGTGGGGAGGTTAAAAAAAAAGACCATTAGTGATATAATACAATGTATAAAAAGAATGGCAGTAACTGTTATAAACGTTATGACCGTGTCCAGTTCTTTGATTAATTCACGAATTTCGGCACTTTTTATATCGATTATAAACTACTATAGAAAACCAATAAAATGGATATGGATAAACTTATAGTATCAAAAAAAAATCTATGAAACCGCGATAAATTTAAAATAACTAAAATAAATAAATACATTCGAATAAATTACGGAGAACTTTCTTGTAGCGTTTATGATTTAGTTTATACCCCTGTTTATACATTTAGGAGGTTTTTTTTTCTACTTTTCGCGGTTTTCTTAATAAGCAGCAAAAATTGTTAATTTTTTGTATATTTTTTTGGGTTGCCCTTGCAACAAGGGAATAAAGACGACAAGTGTTCTTTGCTCAGAATCGTTTTGCGTTAGCTATGGTTTATCGTTGAGAATACTATCGCACATATATAAATTCAATTAGGTACCTAATTCAACTACAACTTAAGAGAAACATTTAGAAATAAACCGTAAACGCGTTTTAATTAGAAGAAAAAAATATATATATTTGTTTAAAAAAATACCATCAATGAACACATTTAACATCCTAGACACATTAATAGTTCGTTTGAAAATTAAAATGTCAATTTTTGATTAGTAAACTAAAACATACTTGCGTTTTGATTTTATGTTCGGCCAGCATAATAATATTGGATTATATTAAATAATGAAATTATCCAATCTAATAATAATATTGTGTTCACGACGTTCAAGCGTCCTGTACTTACCAACACTGCGTGAAAAATGTTCCCTTCTACGCGCATATAAAAACAAAATATTATGTTCAACAAATATTATTGTGGAACGCAAGCTATAAAACGCGTTATTTATAAAAAAAAAAAAAATATGACAATTGGCCATTTATTCGTCCCACGGGTGCCATAATTTTCTCCCTGTGCACGCGCAAAAAATTACAAGCAAACTAAATTCTGCAGTACTGTAACCTATTTACACGGTCAAAACGCGTATTCAGGTATTTATTTACAACTATCGTATTGCAGTGTTCTTTAGGAAACAATACATCGTTAAAACCCATTTCATAATAGCATATATGTTTTACTGCGATATTGTATAAGTTGGCATCGAAAATGCAATGCATGTATTACATTATAAATAATTTTTGTTTTTCACCACGAGTCAGTATATCGTTAAACCACTTTGCACCACCGTGGCTAGACAATAGGCCGCCGTTGTAGTTGGAGATTTTTAAAGATATTTCAGGATATAATAGCAATTTAGTTTGTATACTGATGCGGGTAACGATAAATCGTAGCAATCTAAAACCGATTCTGATCGGAACTCGGTGTAAACTAGTAAGGGTGTTATTTGTAGTTTTTTTTTTTTTTCACTATCAGTACCCAGAAATTAATAGTATGTGTTAATAATAATTATGTAACGCGAGATAAATAGATGCGAAAAAAGTAAAAGAAAAAACCGTGTCGTTTATTTTTGTTTTGTATCGTAACACATCATCTTATCTTTGTATAGGAACCGATAGTAATGAGGGATCTGTTTTCACAATACTCCCCCACTTGTGTAGGAACTTGCATGAACGCGTTTGTTAAATAACTACAATGACTAGGAATGTCGGAGAAGGGGGAACATAAAATAATATTTCGTTTTAGCTGTACAACTGCAAGTAAATTTTTACATATTTCGTACTTATTATTTCTTGTACAACATTTTTCGGTGTTTGTAACCAAATTCGAAACGAGAAGGGAAAACGCGCATTGAAAAATGTTCGTCCAGAACGCGTTATTAACTTACTAAAATAATAGTCACCCGGACAAATCGTCGAACGTAGACCATCACCCACGTAGCCACTATCTAGGCGTATAGGCTTTTGTGTATGTAAGCCGTTCCGAAACAAAAAGTGACAAGTTTCTAGGTTATTAGGTATGTAGGTACTAATATATACTAATATATGTAATCCGACGGAAAACGACTGACCCAGAAATCAAAATGTCCTACACGGTTATCATATGTATAATGTATATATTCAACGAAAGTATTTTCACAATATCATAACTTTAGGTAGGTTTCGAGCGTAGGTACGAAAATTCACGTGCGGCACACGAACCGTCTTCTACACGCCTGTTCGCGTGCGACTGGGAATTTTCGTTTTTTACTATTGCGTGTTGAAAATCTCGTCGAATTATTAATCCGAGCTAAATACAGCAGGTGTGGCCAACAGGTCGACGGCGACACGATTTTGTACCCATTGCGATGACGTTCTTTATACCTAACAAATCGTCTACAGATTCTGATTTTTTTTTTTAAAAACTTGCATTTATCGTTGATTTTCCAAACAAATGTGAATGACGTATGCAAGTAAATTATATACATTAAAATTGTTTTGCTCGAGACTGTCATTGTCATCGTTCACATATCGAATTTTCGAGAATGATTAAACTAGGTTACAGGTTAGGCTAGACAAAAAACGGTGATCCGGTAAAGTACCTGTATGATCCCAAAAACTTTGACAAACTCAATGGTCGATCACAAGTCATGGAAATCTAAGAAAGTTTACAAATATTATGAATAAGTAATAGTTAAGTTATCATAAATAATAATAGATTAACCAAGTTAAAATTAATTTAAAAAAACAAACGAATTCGAATTACGTAGGGGTCTTCGATCTGAAGAGATCGAAATAGGGGGTGCCCTATTCACCGACCAAGTTGATACAATTTAAATTTTAACAAAATATCCTACATATATAGTATCATAAAAAGATGTTGAAAAGTTTGATAATATAAATTATGAAAATTATGGGATTGTCTAATTCAAAACTGGTAGTTTTAATAACTCCCGTTCCAAGTTGTAACTATGACACAAATAAAACATTGATGTACATATTAATTATAACATATTTTTGCACGGAAAAAATACATTTAAAATTAAATTAATTTTACTTTTGAAAACAAATAAATCCTTTCCGTGATATTTTATTAGTAGATTTCATACCATAAAACCAAATAAAATCCGAAGAGCTGTTGAATTAATTTAATACGAGAATAAATTTGAATTGAAATGATTTGTAATTAAATATATAGAACTTATAAAACATGTACGTAACACGTGGAAACATAAACTTCTTTATAGACTGATTTAGTTTTGTTTTTCAATTGATCGCCTACATATCTACATAATTATTATGTACCTAGTCGAAAAATTTACGCCAATATTAATACTACTAGAAAACACTCAAATTGTGATTAAAAATGTAAGGAAACTTAGTAAAATTATTTTGTTGACCTAATAACATTCCCAAAACTTTTAAATCATTATTTTTGATGGTGCACCAATATAAAAAATAATTTTTTTTATCTAAGTTAACAAAAAACTAAACATATTAGAGGAGAACTAATTTCATATTTGAATTCAGCGCATAAAAAATTACAATTGTTATGCCGACTGATTTTTCACCTGAATTTGAACCCTTCCCTCTAAAAAGTTCAGCTTACAGCATCTTATTCATAGGTGTTTTTTGTTCTTTCCTTTCTTAGGAAATCATTTAATTCCCACTTTTATCGCTTTCAGCAGAGAACGATTTGTTTTTTTTTTTTTTAATAATAAGTAATTCTATATTATTATATAGGTACTATATTAGTATACGTATTATGTATACTGTATTCTAATATAATTTTTGGTTAGAAAAAAAAAACGGAATAATAAAAAAAATGCCCATTGTTTTTAACCATATCCGGTTATTTGTAAATAACAGATCGTCTGCAGGTTGATCCGTTCAAATGGCATTCATACGAGACGACCGCATTGCGCTTTTTCACGAGATGATAACGTCATTTCCGAGGTCTTGCAAAACTGTCCGGTTTTTTTTTTTTTTAAATAAAAGTCTCATTTTTCACTGCGAATTTAATATAACATTAAAAACCGCGATTACTCCGTCGTCAGTTAACGTCCTACTTTTTCTCAAAAACACCGCGCTGCAGTCGTTATTATTCATACACAATTTTTACGGATTTTAAAATAATATAACGATTCACTGAGTTCAGCACAATATATTATATTAATATAATATGAAATATGAAACATTTAATAGCAGTGAGCGTATGAAGGGAGGGGTGTGGTGGTTGGTTCAAAACCCCTCCGAAATATAAACTACACATTAATATTTGTATTTTAACTTTAAAATAATAAATTGTTTTACAGCAATACAAAGGTCTAAATATGATAGATATTTTTTATCACCAGACGTGGAGCAAACAATAATTGAAAAAAAAAAAGAAGTCCTAGGATAATGGCGACGAGTACAGCTACTGTTATAGATAATTTAATGTATACCTGTAAGCAAAAATAAACTATTTCTTACGAAAAACGATTTTGAAGGAAGTTCAGTTGATAGTGATGTTTTTTCAAAAATATATATGTTATTTTATAGTAAAAAATAATTCAATAGGCTTTATATATTTTCTTTAATAATATTTGTTTAAAGTTGCACCGATATTCCCAATTTTTTTGTACGTTTTTCCCGGTTTTTCACATTTGCTGGAAAAACTCCTAAAAAAATTGAAAAATTACCTCTTTAAAGTACCTCCCCAGTGAAATTTTCTTTTAGAAAAATTTTTTTCATTAAAAGTTCGAGCGAAATCGCGAAGTTGTTCATAGAAAAAAGAGAAGGTCGTAATATATTTTGACTAATACCTACATTTCTTGTTTTCCATTTTTTTTCTTCAGTTTTTTACATTTGATGAGGAAACTTTCTAGAAAATTGAAAAAAGACTTCCCTAAAGTACCTCCCCACACCAATTTCCTTTCAGAAAAGGAACTACAAGCTACACGTAGAAATCCGAGAAAATAAAAAAAAAATATATATTTTTGTAAAACCATAGGTTTTTTCACGTCACTCAGAATCAAAAACAATTCAGATTTTTCTTCTCTCGCCTTCACGCAGTATTATTATTACGATAAATTATTCGACTCATATAATTCGTGATAAGTTGTTAAGATTAAAATACATACGTGTGATATTTTCATCAAAAAAAAAATATAATATTAATGCTAACTATACTTTTACACCTAACTGGCTAACTACCGGAATAAAGTGACGCAAATTAATAAGTGCACACTATAGATAAATTGGCATGCATATGTATATTTTTAAATTATTACAATTTGAGTACAAAAGTAATAATAATAAGAATAATGTAATAGTAATATTTAATACAAATTTAATACTTAAAATTATTTTAGCTTATACAAGTATAATTATAGTGTTTACCCCTCCCTCTCCTCTCTCCATAAGCTTAACGGACCACGGTACGCACTTGTCAGTGATGAAAATATTATCTCTTTATTTTTCGCAATACTTCCGCATTAATCTCGATGGTGCACCACAATAATAATATATTGCTCTGCAGGGTCTATATATTATTATTGTTTATAATATACGGGATATTTATGTATCTATTTTATATTAGATATCTGTTCAATATTCATAATAGTATACCTCATTTAAAACTTAAAAGAACCCTTATTGGAGACTCCTGAGGGCTAAAAACGAGTATACGAGCCCGGGTGATTTATCGATTCGCCCGAAGTTATAAGTAGATAACATACACTTACTCATGTAATACTTGTCGTATAGACGAAACGAACTAGGTCCACTGTAGAAAAACTTAATGTAAATTCGTTTAAATTGAAAAAAAAAAAGGCAAGATGTGTTATAATCGTAGTTCTGTAAGTAATCCCGTTATCCAGCAGTTTTTTTTCTCCGGTTTTCACCCATCATCACAGGAAAAGTACGAGGAAAAAATGGACAAATATTTATTTTTATAATTTACTCAAGATATATTTGTCAATTATTAGCGCAATATTTTAAAAGCCAATTTATTATAGTTTTATAACATGCAATTTTGATATAATATCGAATGTTCAAAATAAATAACGAATACATAAATTTTAAAAAGCTGGACATACTTCATACTATAGGTAAACCACAGTTGTAGGTGATAAGTTTGGAAGGTATTGGATATAGTGTGATTTAATTTGTTTACTGTAAGGTCTGTAAATAACGAAAAATCATCACAATCATACCACGTTTTTAAGCTCGATAAACTGGTAAGGTTTTTTTTCTCCTTGTGGCTAAGGTGACCCAGATACCAACAAAATAAAATCAATGTATCCGCCATTTGTTGATGGATTTTTTTAAAGTTGTTGAATAATATTTAGAAATCTAAAAGAATATTCAAGTAAGATATACTACTAAGTAAAAAATATACATCTATTAAGATATATACATGAAAAAACCGGAGTATTTTTACTAACCGAAAGTGTCTTTAGAGAAAACAAATAACAATATACAAAAACAATGTTTAGAAAATTAAATTAAAAACGTATTTTTTTGCTTACCCTATTGAAAACTATTGATGGACGTTTGTTATTACTTTAATATTTTTCTATTTTTAATTTTGAAACGCTTTTTCCTCTGTAGTTAAATTCTCAGTGTTACGTAAATGTTCCGAAACGATTACATTACTTAGGTACCTGATGATTAATCCTAATTTAAAACCTAACTACTAAAAAACCGTGAACTCAATATTACTGCAGATTATACTGTTGTATCAAACAATGCCGCCCCTAAAAAATGACGACGATGCTACTGTAGGCATGAGCCTACGCCTTAAACCGGTTCAGGGTTCTATTTGCGGGTATAAGTGAATAAAATAATATAAACATTTTGTATAATTTAAAAGTCTGTAATTTTAATATTATATAAAACTTTGCATGTTTTGGAATGTCCGCTGCTTATGAACAACAAACTTTTTTTTCATTAATGTATAAAACAAAACACGAAACATACAATTCTGCGGAAAGTTTTTTAAAAGTTTCACTAGATTTTTTTTTTACTTGGAAATTATTATCCAATGTTTAGTTCGATAATATATAAGCATGCGTATTTTTGCGAAAATTGTTTACAGTCATTATATTGAATTTGTCAGTGAACCAGAAACTGTAATACTTACGTATACCTATATAGTTATGCAGTTGGAAAATATATTTATTTCATAAGGTCGTAATAATATTACGGATCAGATAAATTATCAATCGTCTAGATAAAGATAACATATACAAAGATAATAAAGAAAATACATTCAGATAATTCGTAAGTATAGTAGGTAGATAATTTAGATTAGAACCATACAATTATAAAAATAATAATAACAGCGATGTCGTGGTTATAGTTACTATCTGTGTATTTACTAAAAATAATTTACAAGTTAAAGATTAGATATTTTGGTTTTATCTTGATAAAATATAATAAAATCTAATTAAGATAATAAAAATTATCTTAATTAGCTTTTAGACACAGACCAATATAAAAATGGCTGGTATCAAACAGTTTATTAGTGACACCAATTTGACGTACAATACAGAAGTCTCACTGCATATTAACGACGTACAGCGACATTTAAAATACATTAATGTCTGATTATTCTTGTTAATGCAAATAAATGTAAATTAAAATATTAAAATGGTTAGCCACGGATAGTGCTAAGACAAGTTGATTTGCGGTTTTGTGATAACAGAGATTCTCCAGAGAGGAAACATTTGCGAACCGTTTTATGTTTTATTATTTTAAACTTAATATTATATTTCATATTTCAATGGTTTCCTATAATAACATTTACTCTTTGAGAACCACTGATCTATTATATATATTCTCAATATAGTTGAATTACCTACCAATTAAAACGTAACGCTATTTTAAATTAAACGATATCATTTTTTTTTTTTTTCCGTTATAACAATTTTCTGTTTGCAACAATACGGATCGATTATAATTATGTAGTGCAAATCGCAGTACAATTAACTCTTTCATTTGCATGTATTGACATTAAAACTAAGTGCAATTTAGCGGAATAGCATTGAAATTAAATTTCCGTAGGTGAATTGTAAAAAATACACCAGCTTATATTTTATATTGCAATTAAAACTAATCGACCACGGTTATTAAATTATCCACAAACTCAATTTCACATATTTCATTAGCAAAAGTACGAATACCCAGTTAGACGGGGTTTTTTTTTTTTTTTTAAACTTTTAATGCAAAGTGATATTATTATGAACATAAAAAAATTGTACAATTTATCGATTTAATAACACTGAGTTTATTATATTTTCGAAATATTGTACTTCACTATTATTTTTAAAATTATTCAGATTATTATTATTATTAATATTATTTTTTTTGATTTTTTTTTTTGTTGGAATCTTAGATGCGTTTCGGGTTAGTTTTTTGGGGGTTTTTCCATTTTTAGAAGTTTTTTCGTCTTTATTTTCTGTACACCTAATTTACATTTTGTCGAACAATCGAATACCTACGGTCCAAAATGCAATTGCAATCTCGTGCGATATAATATTAATTTACACATTACACTTACAGAACGGAACAAGTGGCGGTATTGTTTGTAGTTTTGCTGTAAAATTATAGTCATTTTGATTTTTCTCTGACCACTATAATTTTATATCGAGACGGAAAATACGAAAAAAAAATTACAAAAAACAATAATACAAGTGCGCGAATTTGCTGGTTCATTATAGTATAGACTAGTATATACGATAGCAGCGGTCCCAATTTTTTTAGGTGTTCGGACCACCAATTTTGAAAATGATACTTCGAGGTCCATTAAATTAGTATACAGGCAAAAATATATTTAAACTAATACTCCATATATACATGGAATTTTAATAATATTGATTACTATTTGAAAATAAACGTTGGTAGTCGTTTCACTTCCCCAAAAAAAGGGGGACAAAAAAATAATAGTATTTCAACATTTAAGGTCATCTTCTTTTGGAATAAAAGTCAATATTTTACCAAAAAGAAATTTTTACCGAAAAAAGAATCACTCTGTAGTATTATTATTAGAACGTATCATTTGATTTGAAAAACTCATTTTTGCGCTATCAGTTGGGAGTGCAGAAAAAAAATCAACTAGCACGCGTTTTTTGCTCCGAAAAAAAAAAAATTAATCTTAAAAAGTTCTCGTACACGCGTTAATGTAAAAGCACTGTATTGCGTATGTATTATACGCAATGGATATTTTCACATCATTATAATTTTACCATCAAACTCGAATTACTCAAAAGTATAATTAAAAAGCCGGGAAGTATTTTACAGGACAAAAAGCTAGTGTGAATAAGTAATATCAACTGTTCGCAATGACAGATCATTCCAAATAAAATACAATTTTGTACATAGTTTGGTTAGACATTTTTTTATTATAATTTATAAGTGCGAAACAAATTATAATTGTTTGTGTGTACTTTCGATTGTTTTTTTCCTAAATTTGAATTTAAAACGCTAACAAAAATAAATCACTATAAATTTGTATACACACGAAACCAAAAAAAAATAAATCTAAGAAGCAATTTTCTTAAAAAATAATTTGAAGTTGCTATTAATAACCCAAAAAAAGTTGGGAAATAAAACTAAAACAATTTTTAAATTTCAAATGTCTAAAAATAGTCCAAAAATTTTGAAAAATTGTTTGATCATTTTATCACATTTATAAATTGATATTATAAGTGTTTCATTTCAAGTGAACATTTCAGGTCTCCACGTTTATTTCTAACTCATTTACAAAATAAAACAAAACAATTTAAAATAACAGCAATAAATATTCCTGTTTTCTGACGTTTTTCTAGTTTTCCTCCATTATTAAGAAATTTACAAGAAAAACAAAAAAAAAACATCTTCTTCAATGCACTAATTAGAAAAAATTTTCTTCCAAAAACCATTTCTGAAGTTGATGATTGCACTACTGCAGTAAAATTCTGGTTAAAAAGTTGTTTACAAACATACAAAGAAAAGCAGCTGACACTGCTAGTACCACTGTTATAGGTGGAAATTTGAGAAGGTAAGATACACAATGCATGTAAGCAACAATAAGACAATTTATAGTAAAAAAAAAAAATCGAAAATAATAAAATTTTAATTACAATTTTTATTTAAATTTGCGTAAATTATCAATTTTTTCTTTACGGTTTTTATGGATTTTCCCAATTAATATGAAACTTCCTAAAAAGATAACTTTCCCATTGCGCCAACTAGACACAAATTCTACAAATGAGTTGTCTAATAATATTTTAATTGGAGCAAGATCTCTTGTAAAAATGTTATTTACTATTTCAAAAATCAAAAAAATTACACACACCATCATAGTAAAACTACGAGTAATTATCATCATATAGCTAAAATTTATTACCCAAAGTTTCACGGAAAATAAAATGGTAATTTTTCACCTCCTCTCGGTTTTACAGAATATTGTTTATTTTAAATGCCCGCGTGATTAACATTTAAAAAAATATAAAAAAAAATAGAAATGGCATGTCATTAGGGAACGAAATTAAATAAAAAAACGCGCAATAGCAGGTCACGTAACTTTCGTTTTCCCGGACTGAGCTCCTGCATAATATACCTACGATATATTTCGACAACGTTTGTAGGAACGCAGTCGTGTAGAAGTATCGTCTGCAGTTGATAAGAATCTGTGGCTTTGGAATATAAAATATCATTGGTATCTGTATAATTTTTTTGTTATTTCGTTGGGACATGCCAATGATTTCAGATATATTTGAATATTATATAAATCCACGGATTTCTAGTGCACGAGTCGGATTTCTTATCTTTTCGTCGTTGGGTAACACTACTATACTCTATAAACAGTTATATAAGTCTCGATGTTTTAGGAGGGTTTGCCCGTTAAACTGCAGTGACAACGACGAGAGATTTGCCAAGACCGCTGAATAATTTTTGTTTCTAAAATATTTCCTCAGAAAGTATACGCTCAACGCTCAAATAATATCTATTATTTATTGTCGAAATATTACAGTATTTTTTTTTTTTTTTATAAAAACTTAAAGTATACGCAAGGTAAAAATGAAGATGAAGGTGCCAAACATGAGAGCTATAACAGATATGGCGAAATGACGAACTCTTCTTAATAGCATTGTATGACTTTTTATATTTTGATTTGTGCTAGGAATACATACCAAGTATAAATTTGTTTGGTGTGCATGTGTGGTTTTTCTTATATTCCAGTTTGTGAACAATTTTTCTACCAGTGAAAACTAACGCCAATCATAAACTTAACAGTTACTTTCTTGTAGAATTTGGGAACCTATATAGTATAATCATTATTTTATTTTTTTTTTCTCAAGTAAATTTTGACGAAACTCGTGAAATAATGGAAATCTCTAATTTTAAATTGTGTATTATCAATCATTTTCCGAGCTAAATTCTATCAAAAATCAATAAAATAATTTCCAAATTTTGCCCTTATATAAGTATCACTGCAATTAATTGTTGTCTGGTAATTTATTTTTTTAAAAATTATGTTTTCTTGTCTCCGATAATCAAATTAAAAAATATATGGACTATTATTGTCACTGAAGTAACCCACAAATCAACAAATAATTCAATTTTCGTTCCAAAAATACTGAATATCCTGTGTCAAAACCTTTTAATCACCTTTTTGTAGTTTAGTATTTTGGGATACAATTTCGAAATAAAACCAAACGATGATCGTTCTTTCATTTTGTTAAGTGTACAAAAATTTTTATCAAAGTCAGAATACAATTGTAGATTTATATACAAGATATAAATGAAAATTGACTTATACAATAATATTCGATTTAAATTTAGAAAAAAAAACATTCGTTAGTCAAACCTAAAAAAAAATTTTACTCCGGAACGACCCTTTGGCGGAACGCTTAAAATAATAATATTATTTATAGTGACCACTTCAATAGTACTGTATCTACATTTATTTTTTGCATACAATAATATTGATTAACGGCGGACACGCTATTTTTAATAACCGCAATGCCATATATTATTTGTATTTTTATATGCATATATCGATATTTTTTTTTTTAACCGAACTGTTATTACTACACAAATATTATAATTGATCACATTTTTTTTTTTTTTTTTCTTTACTTTAAGTCAACAACGTAATAATTAAAAAAAACCTTCAAAATAATAATAATATATTATATTAATGTCTGTTGTCTACACCGATTCTTCGTAAATTCAACACGCCGAAAATATGAAACGTTTTTACTTGTGTTTCATACAATACAACACATGTTTTAGTACGGAACTTATATAGTATCACATAATATTACGTGTACTTATTTATCATTACCGAAGACAGTAGGCCAGTTTTTTTTTTTTTTTTTTTTTTTAAATACCTACCTAATTAAATATTTTTGTATAACAAATTTGTATACGCCGATTTGTATGCGTAAATAGCGCCATTGAGTAGTCAATAACTATCATATTATGTATTTATAGTATTTGTACAAATAACTTTGTTTTACATATATAAAAATGGTTGATACTGCTCAAGGATATTAAGCCAAGACGTTAGAAAGGTAGCGCATTATACAAAGTAACTGAATCTATATACTGTATGTAACGATAGATCATCGAAATGGATAACGATTCCGAACGGAGTAATAATTATTCTTTTATTCCTTTGTTGCCATCAAGATAACCCGAAAGTCAACAAAAAAATCAAAAACAAGGATTGTACTTCAATTTTTAATTTGAAGACTTGCTCCAATCAAGAACTTTATAGGAACTTTATGCAATTTTGAATTTGTATAATATTTTAAACAGGTTACTTTTTTTAAATATCCTTTTCATAAATTAATTTATTCATTGTGTAACCTGCAGCAAAATTTTCGTTTCAGTGCTGTGTGACCTAAAATATTTAATTTTATGTTTGATTAGATTGAGTAGTTGTATAAAGTTTAACGAGTGACTCGGGATCAAACTTCAGCTATCAATCAGAAACATTTAAAATGCAGATTCGAAGATACCTCGTTACGCTCGCCAATTGCATGGCTCTCTTTATCCTCTCCTTATAAAAGAAGAAAGGAATAACCTGACCTAACCTAAATTTCCAACCTCGGGAAGATACTGCAAGCAGTATGCAGGAAAATAGTGTTCTAAATGTAAACCTAAACTTCAGTAGTTGAGATCAGGATTCGGCCATTTCTATTCACGAGTTTATATCGGACTTTCTATCGGAAACAAACATCGATTTGTTTGTTTTTTACCATTGCTCAGCATACGGCATCTGCACTTATATTCTAAACCAGAAACCATCTTTTTGATTTTTCAAATTTATTTTATGTTTTTATTTTTAGGACTTGTTTTGATAAAAAAAACTTCATATACGAACTTTTTTATGACATTTTGAATTTAGATGATACCCTCTAAAGCGTTTTAAAATTTTTATATAGATTCCTATTTAAATATTTTAAAAAGAATAATCTTCAATTAAAAATCTTTTATTTGGAATTACTTTAAAAGTTCCATGTTGTGTATCCTAATAAATTTGTAGATTATTGTAGTATTAGTATTTTCGTGAATGAAATATATATTATATATATATATATATATATTTTCTTCATATGTAACAATCGGTGTCTTGCATAAGTTTTAAAAATTACAAGTGCTTTGTGTTGTAAACAAAAAAACCAAAACAAAAAAGTCAGGAATATATAATATAAATCAAATTTAACAAAATTAAGTAGGTAGGTGTTAGGATATTTATCGTTACTCAAGTCATAAATATATATTTTTCAACTGTACAAAGACCACGAAAAGTTCTTACGCGGCGTACAAGACTGATGACAGCGTTGTACCTATGCATCACACGAAATAACGTAAAAGCCAACGAAGATTTACGAGAAAACATTAATAATACCTTCCTTCCTACTTACCTACCTAGAGTAAAAAAATATTAAAGATAAATATTAAAAACAAACATTTCTGTCCACACAGATATTAAAGAACGGTGAAAAAACTAACGGTGTTAAATAAAAAAGAACCTTAGTAATTCTTTTGAAAACATTCGAGAACATGTTAAACTAAAGCGAAATGACGAATTGTTTGAAAATAACAAGCAAACCATTTTAATTAATTAATCATCACTTATATATACACACATATGTAATAGACTACAATAATTATGGACAAAAACAAATAACGGCGAGAATACCTTCATATTTTCTCCTGTATAAATACAATAACCGGACGTACTTCGCTACACACGGGTAGTTCACTGGGCACTGTAGAAGGTGGGAAATTTGAAAGGTACAGGATATATAGGATCTGAATCCTTCTAGGGCACCGAGTAAAAAATTGGAACATTTCACTTCGTATTTAAAAAAACAAAACAAAGCATAATTTGGTTGAAATGGAAATATGAAATTAATATACCACTTGGCAAACAGTCCATATCTTTTAAGGTACCTACTACGTGAAAATATCGGAGCACAAAAAAAAAAACAAATCTTAGTAAAACTCATAGTTTTTTCACTACACTATCAGAGACTAAACGTGATTAAACTACGATTTTTATTACCTAACGAACTTTTTATTCAGATATTATATTAATATATTTTTATGAATATATTATATATTAAGTAGTACACCTATTGAAATTGTTCGGTTTTGGCTTGGGTTTTGAGAACGATTTGTATGAGTTATCGAACTTAAAATAAGAAAATATATCTGTTTTTTGATATTTAAATTTTTAAATCGATGTATTAGTTTGAGAAATATTAAAGTTGTAAAATAAAAAATTAAATTAGGAATCAAAGAAAGCTGATAATCTACTAACATAGATATGATCTAACGTCTGATCTCCATGGTTGCTACTTACTTAAAATACACAATCGATTTTGTTGATAATTAATTTAAATTCGCGTAACATATTAGTGTGTTAGATATATTAGTCATATGAATTGTGTGAATAATATAAGTTAATTAATTTCATTGCAAGTTTTAATGTTTTGTATGTGGATATAACTCTTCACACATTTGTTGATGTTTCAACAGTAATCCATCAACTGCAGTTATGTGATAAAAGTTGTACAATACTAATATCAAATACTAAAGAATTTGAATTCAATATTGCAGTTGAAATTCCTTTATGAATACTTCTTGGTGTTACCTCCTACGTTAAACGTCCTTCATTAAGTTCAAGTCTATATAAGAAATGGAACAATAACAAAAAACTGTTGGTGACCTTTGTATTTTCTTCCCTATTTTTATGTTTGAGCAAGCCCACAATACTAGGAACATGTATGTCTATTGCTAAAAAAAACTACCAATATATTTTCCCAGTAAATTTGATATACTGGTAGATATATGTGCTACCATCAAGAGATAATGACTTGTTTCAATCCTCCTTATTATTCACAAGAAGATCTGGGACAAATGCAAGTGTACAGACGGCATTCACTCCATTCATGTTCAAATTTTTCAGAATATAATAATGAGATATAAATGAATATTTAGATCGAAACTTGATTGTTAAAGTTAGTTCTTCCACCGCTAAATTTTGTATATTTCCTAATAAACATATTGAACAATAGTTGAGTTGTGGTTGGCATTTACTATATGATACTATATAGATTATATAAATGTCCACTTTGGCATTGCAATATTGGTGGTAAAACATAGTCAAAATAAACATTCAAATAATGATGCTAAATCTGCAGATAAGCCTAGAGCATTTCTGAGCTTAGTTTCACCAGAACTATTTAATTCACTCATCCTCGTCTCTTGCTTATAGTTACTTTACAATTTATAGGAAACTTCGTTATTTAACTGCTGTAAAAAATTCTATTCCATGTCACAAATGTAATCATGTTTGTTTTGCGGTCATATATTTTGGTTGGTGAGTACCACTGAAAAAAAAATATCGCATTAACCCAAATCAAACATACACTGTATATTGTGTATTGTGTCCGTTGTATAATGATTATGGTTTAGAAGTTATAGGAAGTAAATTTTACAATATATGCATGCAAATATGCACACAAAAAATGTTAAATGTGCAAAACAAATAATACACTTTAATACTTTTATAATTTTTAATAGAACCAAGTGTATGTTTATTATGTATAAAGTAATACAACAGATACAATAAAATATCGTCGACCGCAAAAAAGATTTTATACCTATGCACGATGGAAATAAATACATTATAGTAATAATAGTATTTAATTTTATGTTCAATATTATTTAAAATACACAGGTTAAAAATGAAAAAATTTTTTAAGAAAATATTAAATAGGTATGCATAACATACGTATGAAAATCAATAAAAATCATTGAAATATGCGCTTTGTCATTAAAGTTTATAAAATATGCAATTTATGTTTTTTTAATGTTCGATTTTTAAACTTGTATAGAGCTGATTTCTAGCTCGATCTGTTATAAATCGAGAGCACACGGAATAATATGCAACTCCTATGACTTCCGAGCTCTAATAATAATGTTCCGTGTTCAACGCAAATTTTTAACTTGTGTCAGTCTTATTCGAAATAACGAGTGTTGGTTGAATTTCAATATGAATTTAACAATGTTGTTGCGGGAGAAGGGTGACTTTAGTAATGTACTCACCTACAGACATCTCAAATGAAGACAGGAAGAATGAAAATTTGTGTATGCATGGTGTTTGAATTAAATATGTACTTCTGGAGGTTTTAAACTTTTAACTTTCACCCTTACAATTATTTGTACGATCAAATTTCACCATTTCTTTTTAAGAAAAATATAATTATTAGAATATTATAATACAGTGTAGTATTCAGTTGTTTATTGTTTTGCAAAGACTATTTTTATTGTACGCATTAGGTGGAAGAAAATTTTACTAAAATTGACTTATCTCAGCTGGATTTTTTTTTTTTATTGCGAAATATTATTTGTTGGTGTTTTCGTCGTTTTTTATATTACGGTTCACCGATGACGACCGTATTATTATTATTATTATGTCCATTAAAACCGTCTGGAAATGTTAATAATATTATTATCACCGTATTATTACGACCCATCAACCGACCGACACGAATAGCATTCAAAATGATAGATCGACGTATTATATCTGTATATACACCCACAAATATTATTATTTAACGATTGCATTTGACGACTTTCCGCGTTAAAACTTTCGCAGGCATAACGTTGAAAATTCCAATAACATCAATAACGAACGATTTACGTATAATATTATGTACGTCCCGTCTGTCGTAAAAGTATTAATATGCAAAATTTAATAAATATTACTATATTTGATTGTATAATAGTACACTGCATAGGTGCAAAAATTATCAAACTCCGTAAAAAATATCAGTTTCTCTTGTTCAATATAGACCAGCTAAACAATGTCCATGTTAGTCCGTTGTTACAGTCGTTCTAGTTTGCACGTTAAACACAAGAAAGGCAACTTGAGTTGATGTTTAGTTTTTGTGATAAAACCTATGGTATACAGTATAAATCTATACAACGTAAGATACTAGAGAGATAATTTTGGAGAGTTAATTTTTTTTTTTTGAAATTTGTTTTTTAAAACATTTACTTTTGGCTTTAAAATATTGTATCACTGTTATTTTATATATTGTAGTATATGTTAAAAAATTTCATAATTACAAAATGTGAAGTTTTAGTTTAAATAAATGTTGATGTTGAAACTTTTAGTTTTTTTTAACTTGTTAACGAGATACTTCACTTTTAAATTTGGGTACGAATAGTGTAGGAACATCTTTTGTGTGGTTGTGTGGTTCACGGCGTTTGTATAGTGATCCACTGTTATTCCCTACTCTCAAAACGGAATAATTAAAAGTGGGATGTTTCGTTGACGGGTTGATGTAAAGTAAAAATGTCAATACCGACATTTATTTAATCTAAAACAAATATGACACGGTCGTCTTCTTAAAATCAAAATTTGTCGATTATTTGAACTTAACGTCTGGTTTGACCTCGTAATGCGGCCACGAAAACGTAATTATATTACTGTATCTGCATAATATTAATAGGTACCGTGATATTATTTAAGAACCCAACCGTTTATAATGCCTAGGTATATTGTAGTTCATGTTAGAATTGTGCACTGCAGGAGGTCGGTTGCAGTAAAAAAAAATATACCAATAATAATAATATAATAATACGACCGCTAATACAACCTAACCAAGTTTTAATTAGGTATTGAAAATAGCAGGTCGCGAGTCATTTTCATTTTTGAAATCGGATCGCCACACCCGTATAAATATGCTACTATAATAGAAACGGATTTATAGTAGGTGTTAATATTATAATCTTAACATAATAACGAAACCCGTGGTGTAGTCCGGAATTATGTTGACAAAAAAAACAAATATCAAAAACCGTCTCGGTGAAATAAAAAGTCGTTTTAATCGATTTAGTTCCGCGGTGTTAATCGAACCGCCGACAAACGTGATACGATATTATTAACGTAAATTAAGTTTATAATTTTTATTTTTCATAAAATTACAGACATACTGTATTATAGAAACTAAAAGCACTATATCAAACGGTATTAGTTATTTAGATAAATATGTATAATTGATTGGCCGTGGATTTAACCCTTTACTCGTCTCATCACGCCCTCTATCCTCCCGCTTTTAACCAAGCCATCTACTGACCATTAAAAATTTCACGTTCACTTACAAACTTTTCGTATATCGTTATCGTTGTTGTCTTATTAGAAAATTTCTTTACAACTACTTAATCGATTCTGATAAAAAATAAATAAATAATAGACTTTAACCTTGAAGTAACGATAAACAACAGAAAAAGATTCGCCAAAATCGGTTAGAGAGTTTTGGATATTTTTGTTAACATATGAATGTTTCCCATTTACTCGTATATCTTTATGTATAATAGTAAGACATAAAAACTCGATTCGTAAACAGTGTTTCCATATATATGGAAATGGAACATGATCTAAACACTTAGTCTTTACATAATCCAAAGTCTTCCCATAATACTTGGTAACTTGCAATTAATTATTTAAAAAGTTTTAACTAAAATCTGAAATCGTAATAATTAGTCTAGAGATCGATCGATTTATACGACTGTACAAAGTTCTTACATCGATAAAAATAAAAAACCTTCTTTGTCCCGACTTTATGATGTCAACTCGGTTAACTACGTGATTCATCGTCGAAACTCGCAAGGGTTTTTTTTTTGGTAGTGTCAAGTGTGACGTGCGAACGATCGTAAATTACGATCGTTGTTGTTTTTTTGTATTGATGTATCGACTAGTTTGTTTTTCTTTGATTTAAAATGATTCAGCCGCACGTTTAAAACGTTAAAAGGTCAAAATTGCACTATCAAAACGAGGAGGATTTGAACCGTACACCGTTCTTCTTATTTTTTGTTTAATATTACAAATACAATAAAAAAAAAAAAAACAAAAATAAATACAATCAAGTGTGCAAATAATAGCTTTAATGTATAAAAATTAGGCGTGATAACAATTGATATTCCATAACAATCAGTACGGTCATTTCTTAACACGTAACGTGTTATTCTATTGAAAATTAATTGTTTTCACACCTGATTTATATACATTAAAGCCGCTAAACTAAAAAACTATTAATCGGATATGAATGTATGATGCATTCAAATTTTTACAATACCTAAAATATAGATATTTTACAAAATGGCATTTTGAACATTTTAAAAAATGAAAAAATTTTAATTAATTTGTCTTCAGTGATTAAGGAATGAAAATACAATTTTTATTTTTCTCTACATATGTGTCCCACTCTCATAAAACGCGATTGAAAAAAGAAATGAATATTGACAGTTTTAATTTGCCAGTTCATTCCCACAATTTTCCCACAAATGACTTCTATTGGTCAATCAAAGTTTTCAAAGCTTTCAAATTATTTTCTCAGTCGTGTTTGTATATGTGGTCTTAGAAATGGTAAATTAGTGTCCAACTACTGAGCAAGTAAAATATTAATTACGTTCAAGTTGTGTTGGTAGGTGTATGGTAAATATATATATTATCAGGTACGAGATAATAGTATTCGATTACTTACTCGATGTAAGTAATTTTTAATGGAATAAAAAATGTACCAACGCAAAAATCGTACAATGCGTTATTCCCGTGAGAGAATGAAAGTTTTTAAAGTTTATTATTAGTCGTGACATTTTTTTTTTTTTTTTTACGGAAAATTAGGTACTACGTTGCCCTTAAACGAAACAAAAAAAAATGTATATAATATATAATTTGACCGCAAACTCGCTTACGTGCCAACTTCGCGCGAATAATAATAAAGAATATATGTGGAAAAGTCGAGTTTAATAAAATTCGACGTCCGACTATTCCGTGTTTGTTTTTTTTTTTCGTACCTACGCACGCGTTACCGTATAATACAAAAATCCGTTTGGTATAACAAGTACTGCAATATCATTTTATATTCTGTTAACAATGAAATATCTTACGAAATTCGATGTATATTAAATACGGTACGAAATAATATTATTTAAGCACAATATACTTATAAATAATGAAATGTACGCATTTTTCGTATACGTATGCGTTATAATCGAGTTTCATACCCTTTTGGAAACTCAAGATTATGATATACAATATTTAACGATCTTACCTTTGGAATTCCGCCGTTTTCCACGGAGTCACCGCAGGATTTGTTTTTTTTCCGGCCCGTCAAGTTCACTAAAACGAACTCTATAAAACTGGCGAACACGAAGAACATGCACACTCCGTCCCAAACGTTCATCGCTGTCAAATTAGCCACGTCGGGCAGTGTCCGTCGGAAGCTGTTGGACGTCGAGAAGTAGTTCAACATCGTCGTAACCCCTGTAAATAAACGCGCACGAATTTTAAATTTATTAATAATTATGTATAATATATTGTATATTATATACAAATTTGGAACTATACAGGCTAATAATATTATAATTATACAGGCAATTTTTTTTTTTTTTTAATCATGATGTAGCAATAAGTAACGACGTGAATGGGGATATCATATGAAACAGCTGTTCGGTGACCAAATTAGATGAGTGACGGGTGTATATGTGAAACTTTACCATATGATATAGTAAAGAAAAAAGAAAAAAAAGGTGAAGTATTGGAACGCCTTGTTGTTAAACAGCTTTTCATACTTCTGGATTTAGGTTACAAAAATTTTTTTTCAATTGAAGTGAAACTGCTTCATAAAAAAAAAAAAAAAAAAAAAAAGTACTTTACGCCGCTACCGTTATAGTGGTTAACTATGAAAATTGGTGTTGGTAGTTTTTCAGTCGTTATGCGGTAGTTTGTTATACAGTTTGTTTCATCGTGTAACCACAATGTTTCATAAGACTAATAGTATTCATAATATTTACAAAATTTATCCTTATTCCGTATTTCATTAAACTATATTCTGTTTTAACTCCCCCCTCCCAGGCGATTAACATGGCTTATACGATTCCGAAATAATTGATAAAAAAAAAAAGTAACGGATATCAAATTAAAATACGTGTTCGTGAAGTTTGTATACGACAAGTATGTCAATATTTTGCAAATTAATTGCAATTAATTTTAGATTCTGAGTGAATCTCTGTGTGGAGGTATTTTAAAGAGGTAAGAAGTCATTTTTCGATTTTCTTAGTAGTTTTCTCATCAAATTTGATAAACAGAAGAAAAAATAGGGAAAATATAAGAAATGTATTAGAAAAAGTATTAGTTGAAATATAATACGGCCTTCTTTTTTTCTGTGTACAACTTTTCTACCAGCAATTTTGCTCCAACTTATAATGATAGCAATGTTTCTAAAATTAAATTTCACTTGGGAGGTACTTTAGAGAGGTCATTTTATTATTTTCTCAAAAGTTTTCTCGGGAAATGTGAATAACCGGGATAAAACACGGGAAAACCGGGAAAAACGTAAGAAAACTGGGAAAATTGGTACAACATAAAACAAATATTATTAAATTAAATATATAAAGCCTATTTAGTTTTTTTTTTTACTATAAAATGACATATATATATATTGTTCACAATTACATCATTATCAACTGAACTCCGCACAGAATCGTTTTTTCATAAGCAATGTTTTATCGTTACTTATAGGTATACATTAAATTATCTATAACAGTGGCTGCACCCGTCCTCATTATCCCAGGACGTTTTTTAGAATTGATTTTTAGAATTTGCAAATCAGTACTTATTTTTTATGAATGTTTAAAAAAAAATGTTGATTCAGGTATTTCATTTGCATAATATTCAACCATAAATCCCCGATAATTTTCGAATTAAAATTTTATTCTTTCATAGACACAATATTGATCATCAAAACTAATTATTATTCGCTTTTTGTCGAAAAATAATCACCCTACACATAAATGATAATGCTACATTAACAAAACAAATTCAATAGTAACTAACCTATAATGGTCCTCGCCGGTACCGCGTTCCATTCTAGAAAAAATGTTATGAACGACGACGTCACGAGTATCATACCGGGTATGAAAATCGTGGCGAAATAAAACGTTCGGTTCCGACTGAATATCATTTCCACTTGTAGACAACTATAATTGCCTGGAATAAAAAAATAAATATTAATCACGAACAAACACATGGTTAGAACATTTTGACACCTCTCCAACTTCCAGTGGATGCGCATTCGTAAGTCCGATTTCGTTCCAAGTACGCGTTGGTAGTTTTCAAATAAGGCGATTTTAACAACATGTTACTGTCATCCTTCCATGTATACTTCAAGTCAGACTTTTCGTGTGATACTACAGCGTTATAGAAAACATAAGAATTAGGTTGTCCAAATAAATAACCACTACTTACCAACAATTTTTTAAACTGAACATTTTTTTTTTTTTTTTCAAACTTAAAAACATATAAATGAGCACTATAACAAGTCAGCATTCGATACAATTATTTAAGACAAAATAGCGTAATAGTGATATGTTCGATTCTTTTGTGTATAGGTATATGGCTAACGAAAATCTATTATTTATGGTGTATTTTCGGTGTACGAGAAACGGATTTCGTATGAAAAGTTTCTTACTCACTTAAAAACGTTCTAGTTTACTATAATATCTACGAGTAGTACTAGTCACAATAATATATCTCAATTAACGTGATCGCTTCGACAAAATACAAGGGCAATAATCGATCTAAATCCGTTGTGATACTTACTGCTTTCCATTGAGAACGTACACAGCGGATGATCGAACGGAAATATGTTCATCGATCCTTCGCAACTCAACACCAGATGACGCCTAGAGGCGAAAAACACACCGTATTATTATCATTATTAACATATATTATTGTTGTTGCTTTTAGATTCATGGCGCTATTAAACTAAATTTTCAGTGGCGGATATGTTGATTTTACTATCGGCTGATTCGAAATAACCTCCTTCTCCATCCCAATACGAAATTTTAAGGCTGTAGGTTATACTTTGATAGTTTTATTAAAAATTGGGTTTTTACAGTCGTTTATTAAATCTAAATTACGAAATATTTCGAGAACAGTGAAATACCCATAATATTGATAGTGTATATTTAACCAATCAGCCCAACGGATGGCCCAAAAATTCACCCACGTAAAACCTAACAATACCTTCAAACATTCTTTTACTTAAATGCAGTTCGACCATCCTGATTTTGTCTACAACTATGACGTACTCTAAATAATATAGATAATTTAATATTATTATTAATATTTTTTTATGTAACGTTTTGTAAGTCGTTTTGATTTTTTTAATATAGCTTCAATAATTTATAGTAACTTATGTCCATTTGTATGGACAAATGTAACCAAGTTTGTAAAACATTAATTCTAACTTTCTAAATAAATTAGTTAGAGCCCAGCCTTGCAGGTTCATTATTACGTATTTATTAAAATACAATTTAATGATTTTAGATTCTGATGTGTGCTTTTATTTAAAAAAATGTCTGTCTGTTAAGAATATTGTGACCACTAGCGAATATTATTTATTTGGTACATTTGGGGGGGAGAGGAAAATTTACTTTTCTAGATAATTAAAACCTGGGAAAACATCGTTTTTTGTTTGCAATGATTTATTGTTGAATAAAGTATATATAAATCGAATTACCCTGTATAATCCTACCTTCCCAATTCCCCATCTACATCAATGGATAGTGGTCTACCAATAAGTAATATCCAATTTTTTTTTCCTTTCGTACGTATAGTTTTGTTTGTCATAGTTATTATTAGGCTGTTACCTGGTCGTGTACTCGACTCTACCGTCTCTGTGCACGTTCAACGTGAACCGAACGGGGGTCTGGGACGGCTTGAAATCGCCGTGCATATGGAAGTTTGTGTCTGGTAGCCAAATTTCGCCCTGGTGGTGGATTCCGTTGAGCATTGTATATGACGTCTGATTGGTGAACCGCAGTCGGGAATCACACCATTCTTGTTCGAGTAAAAATTCCACTTCGTATTTCTATAAAATGACGTAGATAAAAAATAAACCAAATAATTGAAATTGTCGTGTTTTAAGGACGAATTTCCTGTGTGAGCCTCACCTTTTGTGGTTGAATTGTTCATTCAAACCGCTTTTTAAACATTCCTGAAGGAACCAAAAGGAACCAATAATAATAAACCGTGTAATTTTCAGGGATCTGAGTCGATTAAAGTCTTTGAGTCTATAAACCAAAACCCCATACATATCTGTACGTTGCCTTTTACATTATTATATAATGTAAAAAATTGCATTCGCGATAATACTCTCCGTCAGAAAATGTCCGATATGAGCTAATAAAACCAATCATATCTGACAATAGATAACTTCAGTTTTTAATAATATATAGAAAGGCATATGAAATATGTTTTTTTTTATTTTAAAATTGTTTTTTATTTTTTGTCTGGCGGTACAAAAACGAAAAAAAAAATACGGCACGCGTCGAGGGTTCATTTTGACGGGTCGGTTTATGTAATATTATGTTTTTTTTTTTCAAATAACGGAAAATATCACGACTTCAATGTATACCACCGTAGACGCGCACGCGCAGGTATGCCTATGATATTATAAATTATAAAACATTGGCGCCAACAAGACCGTTATGCAAATTTTAATACGTGCCTCCCCGCGGAGTGCTAAAATGCCGAACAACGAGAGAGTTCATAACGTATAATATTATATTTGGCACATAGCCCGATACGGTATATAGGTATTATAGGTACCAAACCTACGAATCTAAACCGTTGTCAGCGTGAGGTACTCGATTACGAGAGCCCTTGTCGTCGTATATTACGACTGTACTACTGCTATACGCAAAAATATCGAATTTTTTTTTGTTTTGTTCTGTTTTTTTTTTTTTTTTTATGTAAACCTCTAAAACGACAATGAAAATTAAAACAGACTACGTACGCACGGTTATTACACGGCATTCGCGTGTTGTACTTGTATAATAATATCATTTGGCTCGAGTTCGGACGGTTTCGGCGAACAAAAATGTGTTCGGTTTTTGTCATAATAATAGTTGGTGGTTAGGTTAGGTTATTAGGAAACGAGGTACTTTTTCGGCCGAACACCAACTACACACAAATGACTACATAATAGAGAAAGGCCGTATAATAACTATTATTGTTCGTTTTCGTAAAAGCTTATGAAAGGCTCTTCGCGGTTAATTATGATTATGAACGTGTCTTACAATAATTGATTTTTTTTTTTTTAAAAGTGTCGAGTAGTCAGTGGCCTACGTATAATATTGTATAATAATATCTGTAAGATGTGGTTTGGTCGGTTATTATTAGGGCTGTGCATTATAATATATCGAAAATGCATTTTTTATTTTAGTTGGTCGCATAAGACGTGCGTCGACTTGTATAGTACAAAGTTCAAGTAAATATGTCATAAAAACATGAACTAAAGCCGTTTTGAAAATTTTCTTTTCTTTTTTTAGGTTCTTTTTTCTTTTTCTTCTTTTACTACGGCTTATAGGTTTTTTTTTTTCTAAACAATATTCCCGGTTTTTATTTTCATATTTAGAATAGATACTAACCTAACCTAAACGAACTTACGAAAATTCATTACTTACGAAAAAAATTAATTTCAGGCGACAAAACATCATTATTTCAATTCATATCAGTAATAAATAATAATACATTGAAGAAAACAACAATCTCTTTTACATTCTGTGTGAAACGAGGAATACATTGATTTTACTATGATATTTATTCTTTTTATACTGTATACACAATTTCTAGCTAAAATTTTACTTTGATTTTCAAGTGTATAGCGCATTTTTTAAATGGGAATTTTATCTAGTTGGTAATTTAAGGAGGTCACTTTTTGATTTTCCAAGCTAATTTAAATATATAATCATATAGAAGCTGATTTGTTGAAATTTCGATTATTAAATACTTATTTTGTCAAAGGTATTTTAGTGAGTTATTTATAGATTTAGACCAGGGAAATTATATAACTACAGCCACCAAACAGACTGATAATTAAAATTAACACGGTATAATATACAACCGAGACCGTCGTGATTGTTTCTGTAACGAACGACAAATTTTACGCAATTTAACGCAATTTTACTTTTCGAAAATGTTTATATCTCGTCAAGTGAATAATTAATAAATAGTTAGTACTCCACCGCCCATGTGCATGTGGTTGTTTTATTTGCTTTTTGCTAATTTATTTCACCTACTTTCATGCTGTACCTCAAATTTTTTTGTATTATATCTCTCCCACAAGCCCCCATTTAGTTACGTTATTTTCGGTCTACCTTGTCCCCGATTTCAGTGACTCGCCTATATATTTTCACTATTTCATGTCCCAAAATGATCTAAACATATTCCCTAACATCTTTCTTTAAATCTATTATGTATTTTTCAAATCATCTGTGTCTAAACGTGTCGGTATACTGTTGCATGATTAGTTTTTATACGCTAATAGTTCTTTATATAACGAGAACAAGAACTGTTGTTACCGTATGATTTAATCACAGTATATTGAAAAATCATTATGCTTTATAATATAGTTCATTACTACGACGTTAAGTCATATTTAAATGGTATTAAAATATTTATATACAACTATACAAGTTCCTACTATTTTCAAATGTTTGCATTTAACACGCAGATTTATGGCGTATCTAATTCGAACTCCACATGAAAACGGTTTTTGTTAATTTACTACTTATAGACTTACTATTTTTTTTTTTAAATATTTTTTTCGTCCAATGTTCAGGTGTCATGAATATTTTAATAAATTTAATTACTGGAGATTTAATGGAGATTTACTCACCAAACTTGATTCGTCGGGAGACGACAACGTAAACAGCACAACACTGACGTTGACAATCGAAGAACCTGCAAACACAATATTCTGAAGTTAGGTTATCTTTATAAACTTGGATATGCCCTTCCCTATGATTATACGGTCTAAATTTCAAACGGGTCAATATCCGATTTATTTTAGTAATATTCTTTTATTAAAAGGGAGCTAACATTATGTGTATAAATATGATATAAATAATATCTATTTAAGTATATTGTGTTGTTGTGTGTGTGTATGTATACGGAGTATGGTGAAAATATCATGAAAAACAATTTAATGATATTTAATAATGTTAAACGATTTGATAATGACAAAGTTTTCTCAAAATCTTCATAGATCCCATGTAGTTCATGATAAAAAAAAATCAACATTCTGTGTTCATAGATAGGTACGTTATAAAAAACGCGAATGGTCGAACAAATTTTGTGGATATGATTTTAATACATAATATCTCCGCCTCTAGAAGCAGTAATGGCATTTGAAATCATACTACAAAATATTCGACGTGTTTAACGTTATGTCACTTATTATTATTATACGAGAGTAGAATTTGATCTCTTAAAAATATGATTATTTAACAGTGGAAGAGGTTCGTTTAGAGGGCCAAAATCGCATATGCTTTATGCACACATTTGAATATGATAGTTATACGTTAATAAACAAACTATAAAATGCATAACTATCAGTCTTGTAAAAAATACTTTTCAAATTGTATTTAAATACAGATATAAATACTTCCATTCATAAATTATTTCAAATAAAAACGAAACATTTCTAAGAAAAAGTATTTAAGAACAAATATAAATACTCAGCATGTATTGAAAGTTAAATTACTTTTTTATTTGTCTTAATAACTAATTAAAGTAGGTTTGCAAAATTAATTTTTAAATGTCTAATGTAAAATTCAATATTCAACAATTTAAGTAAGTACCTACTATATTGTACTTCATTTTATATTGAAAAATGAAAATGAATAAAATATGCTGTTTATTAATTTTGAAATAATTTAATACTTTTAATAAATAAAAAAAAAATTAATGAAATAGGAATTATAAATTTATAACGCCATAATCGTTCTCAAAATGTTGTATTGCGCTTAACCAGCATGGTTTTCTCAAAGTGTTAAAAAAAAAATGTTCGTTGTAAGCTTTCTGGTAAATTAATTTCTATCTTATTTGTTACTACACTGTCAATTCACGTTTATCTAACTCCGTTCACCTCAGTTTATAATGAGGATGGCATCACAATATCCAAATCACGGAATATAAATTATAATGTATAATCTATTTTATTTTATTACTTTAAATATTAAATTACAACCCGGAATTTTTAATTTTTGAATTAAGAAAAGTATTTACATGGAAGTAATTGAAATTAAAATACGTCTAAAACAGTATTTAGGATACTTGCAAATACTTAATTAAAAAGGTTTTAAAAAGTACTATAAATACTATACATTCTTTAAATAGAATTGCTTAAATACGTTCACTCAATACTTTACAAGACCGATAACTATATAAATTTTTTAGCGATCTATATATATATATAATATTTGAACAAAGAGCAAATATGGATATTTAAATCGTTAAATTCGTAATTGTAATTAAATTTTCACGTGAACTCCTATAATAAAGAGTATAGGTATACTTGTATGAATAATGAATAATTTAATAACTATAGTTATTAAAACTTTTACCATGTCGATTTTTATTTTAAATTCTGACCACTCAGCGAGTAATACATTGGTTTTACAATGGTGTTTATTTTTTTTAACTTTTCTATGAGTACTTTAGGGAAAAAACGGAAGAACGGCAGGAAAAAGTGTACGAAATAGTAAAAATATATTGTGGTCTTTTTTTTTCTGTGAATAACTTTTCTACCGGAAATTTTTCTCCGATTTACAATGATAGCACTTTTTCTAAAAGGAAATCTGACTGGAGATATACTTTAAGGAGGTCATTTTTTTGATTGTCCCAGGATTTTTCCCGATGAATGGGAAAAACCGGAGAAAACGTAGGATACACAAGATAATAGGTGCAATATTAAACAAATATTATTAAAGCAAATATATTATGCATAAATAATTATCTTACTATAATATGATACATATGTAATTGAAAAAGCAACTCTATCAACCGAGCTCCGCTGAAAATTGTTTTTTCGTTATTGGCAATGGTTAATCGTTACTTACAAATATACAGCCGTTCCCATTTTCCTAAGACACCTTTTTATTATTGAAATTTATACTTTTTGAAATAAACAATTCTCGATAAATACATAAACTAATCGCAGTGCGGATCACTTTTGAAGACTTATTCATTTATATCTTGTTTAAATTTATTCTGTATATATGTTTATCTGTCTTTCAGATATAAATAAATCTACTATTTTATTCTGATCATGATTGAACTTTGCACACTTAACATTCAAAGCACGAGAAAGGTCACTGTCTATTTTTTAACTCGAAATTCAACCCCTAAAAGGTGTATCACGTTTGGTTTTAGATATTTTAATAAGAACAAATTTAATTTAATTTTTTGAATTCTGAATCACCTTGGTGACAAAATTCAAAAAACAAACGGACATACTTTGCACGATGGGTGGACTACTATTGCAGTTGTATGTGAGAAGTTGGAAAGGTAAATGAGAAATGTAATGTATATATGTCACGATTAATCATTGCTAATGAAAAACGATTTTGAGTGGGGTTAGGTTATATATATTTCGAAAGGCTATAATATTTACGATTTTAAAATAATACATTCCATAAATGTTCTCGTTTTTCTTGGCTTTTTCCATTTATTATGAAAGCCCCTGAGAAAATAATTTTCTTAAAGTACCATCCAAGTCAAATTTATTTTCAGAAAATGCGCTACACTTGAAAATCAGAGCAAAATGTCTAGTAAAAAAGTCACTGAAAAAAAAATATACTTATATCATTGTAAAATCAATAAATTCCTCGAACCATTCAAAATTCGAAAGTTTATTTTATTTATCATTATAGACAAGAAAATACCCTTTTTAAAAAATAAATTACCGGGCAATACTGATTAACTATGATAGGGATACGAGTGAAAACAGTGAGACACGTTAAATTGAATTTCTTTTATTGAGTTTTGTTTTTAAAAGAATGAGGACGAAAAATACTGAGTAACTCAGTTACAGTACGTCATAAATGTCAACAAATAAAAATGCATTTTACTTACCGTACGACGGAGGTAATAATCGTTTGTCGTATCGTTTAGGACTCAGCAGATAGTCGAGTACGTGTTTATCTGACTTTCCATTTTCAAACCTATATTGAAAATGCAATAGGTTTAATAATAAAATATCCTAAAAAAAATAACTTAGGTAAGTTCAAGTTAATTTTTAAGTATAAATAAATTTGAGTAACTAAGTTAAGTTACATATTTTTAGGAAAATGATAACTTAATTATGTTAAAAGTTACTTTTTAAAATTAATTAATCTTAACTATTTCATTCATAAATGTCTTTTTTCCCCTAAAATTAAGACTTTTATAGACTTACTGTACACGGTTCGTGTGAATATCTTTAAACAGATCACATTTTGTTTTGTCGTAATAAAATTCACGTTAAAATACGTAATTTTCGTATGTATTCAAATAAACATAAAAACATAATATACGTACATGTTTTTATTAGTATTATTATTATTATTTTTTTTTTTACAGTAAATTAATAAATTACTGAACTTTTAAGTTGAATTAAATTTTTTACTAAAAGAATTAACAGTTATTTTTAAAAGTTATCGAACAAAGTAATATAGTTTAGGAATCTTGTTCCGATAAAAAAAACGGTAAGAGAGCCTTTTTTTTTTTTGTAGCAAATAATGTCTAATAGTTTGTGTGCATTGAGCCGTTACCAAAAAAATCCCAACAATATAAGTACTATAAATCCACTTCTATTAAAATCTATAACGCACACAGTATAATACAGTAATTATTTTGACGATTTATGCAAAACAGATTTATTTATCGTCTGTTAATGATATTTATTCGTATTGTATATTATTAATAATTATCTTTTATACTCACTCGGGCAGTTTGTCATCGGGTGTGGTGTGCGATTCGGAATTTTTCAATATTGAAACGTAAAATACGGACACGCATAGCAGTCGAGACAAGTTTGTCATCCTGTCGGTATTAAAGTGTACAATATATTAGATACGAGTAACCACAATAGTTATAATTATACTACTGTTTTAATAGTACGATGTGTATAAAACAAAAACGAATTATAATATAATTTTAATGTATTAACGGTATTATAATAGTCGTATCGATCAGTAGATCTTCGTGTATAATATAGCTGTCGATAATGTCGAAGGAGTATTCAATAAATTATTTTACAGAGCGATTCACTGGCTGCGAAAGAGCAGTGTTAGGTATTTAAAGAATATTTCATTCGATTACTAATATTGTTTACGCGCGTATTTTTCAACGGTTCACGTAGTATAGACCTAGTATATAAAGACAAATGCGTGCCAAATCGATATAGACTTTTGATTTTCCACGCGGCAGCCAAATTTGAAACTCGTCCCGACAAGAGATTATATTAGTTTTGTATTATGTACCTTATATATATATATACATATAGGGCGTTCCGTTTAAGTGAGTATACTCATTATCTCGAGAAATATTAGCTTTTTGTGAAATTTGTTTTATAGAACATTAAGGAAACAAGCAGTTCCACAGTTTTAAATTTATTTTCGTTATTCGTGTGACTCTTATTTTTGGGGGTTAAACCTCTACTTATATTTGATTTTCAATTGGCGATTTATATTAAAAATTCGATAAATATATGAGGTGTGTGTTAAAATAAATGTTGGCGTTGACATTTATGATTTCCGTCAATCCGTTAAGGAGATATTCTACTTTTAAGTTTTGGTGGAGAGAGAATAGTGAAGCAATCATTTATGTACGGCGGCACGGCGTGCGGCGTTTTAATAATGCTCCATTTATACATGGTATTTTTAATATGGATTGCTGTTTTAAAATCAAAATAAAGGGTAGTTGTAACAACCTCTAAAAATAAAAGTGCCAAAAATAATGTTAATAAAATAATTCTGTACCTGCTTGCTTTTTTTAAACTGTCAAAAATACAATTTTTCCGAGGCAATGAGTGTGACTGTGTGAGTCCACTTTAATAGTTCATACGGTATAAAAAAAAAATTATACTTGCAGTACATTACAATGTAATCCTTTCATTATTGATTGATCAATAAAAATAATATTTAAAGTTTGTACTGGAATGACGGTGACTGGCTGTAGGTAAGTACCTGTACGTTGTAATGATGTATCTATTTTTAGACAACTCATTTTTATATAGGTCATCGTATCGAAAACGAAATTAAAATAATAATTTAGGAAATTGGTGGGTATGCAAAAACACCTCCGCGTTGATAGTTTTCTTACCTACCTATAGCTATATTATGATAATAAAAAGTATCAAATCAAATTTACTTATAATGTAATGTGCAATAACAATAATGATTCATCGGAAATCACGGCTGCGTCTTATCGACACTACGATATTATAACGGACGACAGTTGTTGAATCCCTCTGTATATAAATTAAATTTTCAATTTATTTATTTTATCAACAACGCAATTTTCAAAATATATACGTCAGCGTACAATTAGGTTGAAACGTATGTGCAGAATGATTTCAATTTTCTATCAAAACCAACGGTAATTTTCTATACGAAGATTTTGAGTAAATTTGGTTTGATTCTACAACGCAAGTCGAGGCATTAACTAAAAAGTTTAAAAGTTAAATTATTATTCAGAAAGTTCACGCACAGAAGAGGACTAACGGATCCTAGTGCACTTCAAAGCTAGATTTTCGAAATTCTATCCCTAAATATGACTCGCGGCCACACACGCCCCGGGTGCCACCTGATCTCAATGAGACGACCGTCTGATTAGGACGTCTAATACCCACGAAATGTTCAATGTTTCCTTATTACTATAAAAATGGGTAAATATTTTTAAAATAAGAACAAAATAATCCTTGATTAAAGTCTTCAAATAAAAGACATAAAACTCAGTTCAAAAATCGAAAACTGATACTATTAGGGTCTCAATTTCATGATCGTTCGGTTTTAATCTTCTAGTATGCAATTTTTCCATTATTACGAAAACTGCTGTTATGTATCGTAAACTATTTGAGAATTATTTTAATACTGCCAATAATTTACTAAAGTAATAAATTGATTGGTGAATCCACTTGCGGTGATATTATCAATAATATTGTTATTCCGCTCTTTTAATAACATGTTTCGACACTTATACATGTCGTTGCTGATTATTTATAAGTGAACAGTGCCAGAACGTGTACAAAGTTACAAAAGAGCATAGTGTTTTTGGTTCAACAGATGTAGTTACATAGATAGCAGAGTAATATTGACATTATTTACATCATGGTAATTATAATTATAAATACATCAACGGTTGATAATGATTAGAAATAGGATGACGTTTACGTTGATGATTTTTACGTTGTTTCTCCCGCTCCTTTCAATGCTATGTACACAATGATATCAGAGCTAAATACTTGATTCTTTATAGAGATTTGAAGGAAATACATCTTGTTTCGTACTTTTGTTTAGCTTTATTATATTTTTATTTTTTAAGATCATTTTTTGATGTTTTTCGATTTTCATTTTCTATATGGTATATAATACTATGTAGGCAAATTTCGATACCAAAAAAAAATATTTAAGGATTCACAAAATGTTTCTATTATCGTCCGTGTTTTTCTTGTGGTTAGTAATGTATTTTAATTTTGAAAAACTTTATTTAAGAACATCTATGATACAATATGATAAATATGTACAATTATAAATACAATTTATTTTTGAATTTATATTTTAAACCAGTTAATCGAATATTTATAATTGAACAATCAAAGTATTTTTGAGTAAATAGATAATTTATTATTTTTAATAATTTTGTACATTTTGAAAGTAATTTTTTAGTTTCATGAGAGCATATTTTGTTTTTGTCAGTTTTGATACACTTTTAAATCATAAATATCCAATGCATATACTTATATCAACTGATGAAATATTGTGGCATTCAACAAAATAAAAAAAAAAAAAATGTATTTATACAAGATATAAATTGTACAGTATATTTTTGATCCGAAGAATGGTAAACGCTGCAGAATTATTTAATGTTTTCTCATTGAACTAATGCCAATATACAATACCTGACGATCAAACAATGATACAAGTTTAGCGTTTATGATATGGGCTAGTAAAAATTTCGACCTACTAAATACACGAATTCAATTAATTCAAAATTATATGATTACATTACAAGAAAAAAAAAAAAAAACTAAATAATATAAAATTATAACATAAATATTTGTCCTCGATTATATTTTCGTCAATTATATCACTGTTTAGTGATATAATTGAGGTTTTCGTAATGATTGATGAATTTAAATATTTGTCGTCGAATGTATTCATAATGAATAAAAATGAAATAAAAAAACAATTTTTTGCCAACATAATAATATGATATATTATATTATAGTTGAATTTCGCGTTATAAATTATTATTATTGTCTTTTTTTTACATTATACGCAAGATGAACGAACAACACAAACGATTTTACTGCACTGACTACGATATATTATTATGTATACTATTATAATAATATAGCTGTTATTATATCTGATATCCGATGAAAAGTAATAAATAATAATAACAAGACATCGCGGTGACATTGTATATAATATTATCTCTATTGTTGTAACACAATATTGGATCTAATATTGTACACACGTGATGCACAGGGTGGTTTGGTTAGGTTAGATAGCTCAACGATATTAAAACGTACAGAGTGTTTAAGCGATGGTATAAACCGCGTGATAAATTTTTAAGTTTTCTAATTGTTGTTACAGACAAACGTCGACATTTTCCGCGATAGTCATTTGTCGCAGTGTTGCACAAAGATACACGTTTAAATATCTAGATCAAAATAAATAATCAGCAACTTTTTATCAAGATAAAAAAATCGTATTCATTCGTTCATTACCTGTCCATAAATAATCTGATATACTATATACTATACACCTGCTTTTCCTAATATTTCCTTCTATTAAGTGTATAAATTGCGATTTACAAACATTTATCTAAAATGTTGAATTATCTATCTCGGGCAATTCATTTATCTAGATGTGATATAAAAACAAGGTATACCTAGATGAAATCCAATACTAGTTTAACATTTTCCATTTTTACATCTCCGACCGTAACACATCTACATACACGTCCTACTACATACTCTCATACATATATTTTTTTTCAATGAGCTTTGGATTACCCTCAAAACAATAGCCAAGAACTACTATTCATATTGTCTCTTATTTTCTATAAAACCACGTTTATTTGAAAATAAACAATACCTATCTAATTGGCAAAAACTCACTAAATAAAATTTAAATTTTTTGTTTTTTTTTTTTTATTGTATATACGTTAATATTATCTGACAGTCAGTCTTTTGGTGGTTAATATACTCCTCCTGTACATTGACCCAGTTTCTCAGTCTAAACAATGCCGAATTCTCGACTTTTCCGTACTTTTATTATTTTATTTTTTATCGAAAAATACACCCACCCACCTATACAACAATGGCTCAATGCGAATCGAGAAATTTTATTCGTTTTTATTTTGGAAGCATCTTTGCGATGATGCAGTAGTGTTCGTAATGAGTTTGGTCTGTTTGGAGATAGCAAAAAAAAAAAAAAGTACAATAATTCTTTGAAAGTTTGAAGCCAGCCGTATTTCGTGTGCATTCATTTTGCTCATTACGTACTTCAAAAGTATATTGTTCTCTCGAGTTGTCACGACGATAGGCATTATTAAAAAAAAAAAAAAAACTTTTGATACTGGTCTTTTTTTTTTTTAATCATCTTCGTATCTGTGCGAATACAAGTGTACACATTTTTCAGAAACAATACTACACACACTATAATATTATTATCGCGCAATGGCTATTAGGATATAGAGACTTCCATGACGTCGTTTTTTTTATACGAGCATTAAACGGAATAATATTTCCCACACACGCGATCAGTTAAGAAATCGAATTTTCTGCAATATAATAACACCCTTACCTAAC